TTCATTAGCGCCAGTAAATCTCACCACCACCACTAGCAGCAGCAGCATCTGCCTCTATTTTACATCTAAACGATGTCCACATTGTGTCCGAGACTCGACGATAAATTCACACCCTTCCGGCAAAGTGAGCGAGCTTCGCATTTCGCGCGGAGCAGTGTCCTTCACGAAGTTCCAGAGGGGGTAGGTTGGGTGGGGCACTCTCGCCGATCAGACATCATCGGTGTAAGGGCCGCCACATATTTGATGATGATGGGTGGTGTTTTCACTCGTTGTGTATTGTCGGGGGCACGCGTGTCAGGGGCCGCACTAACGGCCACCAAGGGCCGACAGTTGCCTGGAGTGAGGATGATGATGATGATGCTAGTACGTCCAGTGACTGTCGGAAAAAAAACCCGAGTCAAGGGGACGTAACGTCAAGTGGACGGGTCGCCGATTTCCGCAGCTGATGCCACGGTGGCCAGATGTTAACTACCTCGCCTGGTATGCAGGAAGTCGCGTGGGTCGATACCGAGCCTGACGCCTAGATATTTGGAGTTTGCGGTGTCTCTCTCCCGGTGGTCGCGTGGATTTTTCTCAGGTTTTTTTTTCACCTCCATATTCAGAAACAAGCGTTTTTTAGTATTTGTCTGCTCTTTAAGAAAAGACGTCCACACGATAAGCCACTTGGTTGAGCTATCATTTGTGATATCCAGGTCACTTCTAAAACAGAGTTACATAGTTCAAGTAGGGTCTTACCGGGTAAAATAAAAAAATTGCTCTGTTTGTCGCCGAGGTTTGCGTTCGCGAGTTGAAGGATGTGTGTGACCAGTCCCCCTGGACAGACCGAGACGACCCCCCCTCTCAACCCCCACCCACACTCCCACCCCTCCCCTCCACCCTCCGTGAAGAATTCCGATAGTTTGGGCTGATCAACGGGGCGTCCCCTCTGCGAGTTCTCCCATAACGGCGGCGGGAAAGCTCCTTCATTAGCCGTGCATCTGCTGCAGGTTCATGAGAAATGGCTACAACGGCCATTCGCGGTTTTTGCGCTCTGCAGCTACGCATACTTTCATTCACAGTGTTGTTGTTGTTGTTCATTCAATGAGTGTCCTGTCCGTAGACAGGAGCGAGGCACGATTTTAACCTCCAATTTTTCCTATGTTTTTGTCCAGTGGCACCATCAATTGTTAATTGTTTACATATGTAGAGGGATTTTTTTCTTGTTGCTGTTAGTAATTGGATGACAAGTTTCACCTCCATTAAACCACAAATATTGTGGATGATAAAAAAAAAATGATGACGGTGAGACGACCGGTTGATTGAGAGGTCAATGCTCTGAGCTTGCACTGCTGAGGGCCTAGATTTGAATCCAGGCAAGCCATCTGTGATTAAACCGGGGTCTCATGTGTGAACGAGTTGATGTCAGACAGATGTTACCAATTTACAGCACCACACTCCTGGAACAACCTCTCCGAAGCAATCCACACCCTCGACTCCATCACTACTTTCAATTCACAACTCGGTGTTTAGTTGATTGTCCTTGCCGCGCACCTTCAATTAGCACGGTTGGCTATGTACGGTGCGAACACAAGTTCAACATACTTTACATACTGGAGGTCGTGGGTTCGATCCCGACCCTGACGTCTGCTGAATATTTGGAGTTTGCGTGTCACTCTCCCCATGGTCGCGTGGATTTTTCTCCGGGTCCTCTGGTTCTTACCTCCACATTCATGAACATGCGTGTGGATCATTTGGCTGCTATACATTTTCACATGGTAAGCCTCTTCTTTGAGCTATCATTTGTGGCCAGGTCGCTTCTGAAAAAGAGCTACATAGCTCAGTGGGCATTGCCTGGTCAAATACAAATAAAAAATAGTTTAGCTTAGTATTCCTTTTATAGAACCGGACTACTAAATTCCACAAAGCGATCAAATGGCGAAACGCAGCGGATGTACCTGAACGAATAAACAGACACTGCCGCGTTTATTATTTTGTGTCTGGAGCAAAGTGTCCCGAGGACACAAATTCCGAGTGATGCACCTTTCGCATTCGACATGTCTCAATTGGTGGCAGACGATGCTACGCGTGGCCAGCGAGGTGGTTTTCGCTGGAATTCGGCAAGACGGGAGTGGCAATGAGTACACCGATGTGACTCACAATGGAAACTGTCAATCATCCTCGACCACCACTGCCCCTTAAATTATATACATAAAAAATAAAATACCAGGTGTTGCTACGATACTGTCTTTAGTTTATTGCATTGCCAACATGTGAAGTTATTTATCGGTTTCACGTTTTTTTTCGTTGTTGCTGCTGCTGCTGTGAAAAGTGAAAAATGTAAATGGTGTTATTTTGTTTACAGCCCTTGATCACTCCGCTCGTGCATGAAGGTCTCCCCCATTCCGTGTCGGTCATGGGGATCGTCTGACCATACTTCACCTTGCCCGTCACTATGGGTTGACCAAGGGGGTGGCCGTGGACCGTTTCGGATATCAACAGCCACCGTTGTTAGCCGTACGTTTTAGGCAATGGACCTTTTTCATAGCACACATATTTCGGCTATGAAGCAGGACCATTGCCCCAGACGTTGTTTTTCATAGATATTACCTTTCTTTCGGCGCAGAGTTATTGATGAATGTGTCGAGTGAGTATTTTTTGTTGTGCTACCACAAGACGGCGCTGTCACGGCTCGGCGGTGGTGTGGGACCGCGTACTTGGCAAACACCCAAACGAGTCCCTGGCTAATCGGCGATGCGTTCGTCACGTCCGCCGCCAGTTGACAGACGGCATCCATTTAGCCGCGTTGCACAATCAATGGAAAGTGAGCGCAGTTAATGGCTTTTTTTTCTCTTAACGGTATTTTTTTTCTCTTAACGGTAATTGTTTTCTCTTAACGGAACATTTTCTCTCTTAAATGTAATTTTGTTTGTTGTTAATTAGCACTTGCTATATACTCCAGATTATAAAATACCCCATAATCGCCCTCCCTCCCAACCCTGGCCGTGTGTTATATATAAAAGAACAAAAACATTGTGGTACGTCTTCTAATCCGGTAAGGTGTGTGTGTGTGTGTCTGTGATCAGATTCTATCATTTCATGGGTACTCGCGAGCAGTACACTTGCCCCAACAGTCTGTCAAGCAGGCGATGTTTACACGCCGCACCAGGTACCCATCCGAGGCTGAGTCGAGCTCGATACGCAGCAAGCACATGTTGCAATACCTTCATCTCACTCGTCCGTAACGAGAGCTCTCTGCCCAGGCATCTCGCAGAACACAGAGATTCGCCTGACAGATTTGGGGCTAGTAACGTGAGCGAGCACCAATTCAGGCCGCCACTGCACTCGCCAACACCACGCCCGGCCGCCTTTGTCTCTCCCCACGTGCTGATATGAATACACTTCAAAGGGATGATCAGTTAAGGCTGGGGCGAAATAGAGGTTGAAGACAAATGATGTTATCCGTGGGCGAAAATCGAACTGTGCTTTGATTTTTTTTTCACTGAGTTGACCTAGGAGTGGGCCCAGCCCATGTTTAGAAGCCACCCACTATACCAGTGGTTCTTAACCTTTGCTGCAGCCTTGAACCCCTTTTGGTTCTAAATCGCTACACCAATGTACAATGTAAGTAAATGTGCTTGTTTGATTAAACAAAGTTGTTGTAATCTTTGTTTTTTCGGTAAAGTCACGTAGGTAAAAAATGAAATAAAATAAATGAAAACAACTAAATTAAATCACGACGTTTTGGGCGCAACACAAGCGTCCTCCTTCTTGCGCCCGAAACGTCGTGATTTAATTTAGTTGTTTTCATTTATTTTATGTCATATTTTACCTACGTGACTTTACCGAAAAAAACGAAGAGTTTGAATCCTTGCAGTCACGAAAGCTTCAAATCTAGAATTAAAGTTGTTGTAACTTAATTCGTGTTTCCATGATTCACCCTCTCAACACATCTGGCCACGTCTCGCACCCCCACAAAGGGCATCCCGTACCCCCGGGGAGTGCAGCGTGCACCCCAGGCTAAGAACCACTGCTCGAGACGTTTGCATGGCTGCGTGGTTGTGGCTTGTGCCACTTGCGCCCCAGCAGGCACTGGAGGGATCTTTCCACACGCGCAAAACGAACATTTTAGTCATTCCAATGCGTGGCTGGTTGTAATATTGGTATGCGTTTGTGTTTTATTTCCGAGTAAAATGAGGCTTTAAATTCCTCGCGTTTACGTGGGGCAGGTGTGTACACAGTCCTGACTAGTCTCCTCTCACAGGTGGGGGTTTATTCAGGAACCCTGCTTTCATTTAGCAAAGAGAAAGCAAGAGATTGTTGGTCAAATGGTCCAAGCAGGGCCCTCTTGAAAAACAGCGCTACGACTCAGTAAGGACGCATTTTTGTTGCACAACGCGATCCCTTTAAACGTTGAAGTTCTTTGGCACCGCACGTAGCCAACCGTGCAGCAATTCTCGGTGCAGTGGATTTGGGGTTGATACAGCTTTAACGTACAGACGACATGCCAAAACGCCATAATAACGTGGAATTTCCAGCACGGAACAAACGGGGATGGGCGTCACCCGATGGCTGGTTTGGGTCAATAGACGACGTCGATTTGTTTGATAAAAATGCGTGACAAATTGGGACATAATAATTAAAAAAGAGCTTTACAACTCATCGGATTCCTCCAGATTAAATAATAATTGGCATTCTGACAATGACACCCCCTCAATTTCCTTGCTGGATCGCGTTCAAGTGCCCCCCACTACCACCACCCCCCCCCCCCGAGGGAGATGAGTCAGACTGAACGAGTAAGATAGAGGGGGAAGGTGCAGACCGATGCGTAATGGGCTCAGCCCCCCCCCCCAGACAATAATCCAGCTACGTATTACGCAAAACATTGCCCGTACACGCCCCATCATCATCACCACCACCACCCCCACCTCCCCTAACCATCGCTGCCTCCCCTTCCCCCCATCCTCCACACCCCTACCCCCCACACACGTACACCACTCGTCCCCTCTATGAACAATATATATATTCGAGCCGGCCCCCAGCGAGACCTCAGATACAGCGGGCGTCTCGACTCAACTCACAGTTGGACTTTGTTTTTGTCGAAGTCCTTTGGCTGCGCAAACTTTAAGACAAAGTCGCTGCCACGCGGCCGCAGCACATCAGCGAGTGGCTAGAAGACTTTGTGTTGTGTGTGTTCGCGCGGAGCAGCAGCAGCAGCAGCCTATCGCATCGATTTGGTCAAGATCAAGACCCTCTTAGCGTATCTCGTGAAAATCCACAAGCCCACCGCACACTTCGCATACACACACACGCAGCAGCACTTGGATTTCTTTTTGTCTACGGTGAAAACAGAATTAAGTTATTTTTATAATCACAGGGGCAGATTTTTTGAGGGCATATTAATTTATTCGTAGCGGAGTGGGTTGCTGCCCAAAAGTGATCGGTAAACCCTGCAGCCGTAGCCGCTGCCGTTGTCAGTGGCGTAGCAGTCAGCTGTGGTCGGCACGGCTAGCGGATCAGCTGCTGTTATTTTGTGTGTAGCATTTCTTCGGAAGCCGAGAGCGAAGACGGGAGTAAGGGGAGGGGGAGAGGAGAGAGATGTGTTTGTTCAAAGGATGGCCGGCGGTGGTGGCTCTTGTGTTACTCAACATCTTCGGACTTCACGGCTTTGGTGAGTTGACGTCTTTTATTGCAGTCCACATTCTTTGATGAAAGTACAGAACAACCCAATAATCGTAGTGTTACGGGGCGGCGGCTTTGTTCATCATCCCGTTCTCGGGGTCGGTTGTTCTCGTGTCCTTGTGCCGACTCCGTGCCGGTTAGTGAATAATCAATTGATGAATTACTTCATGAAAAAAATAATGATCTCCGTAAGCACTGTGTTGAGATTTGTTGTTGTTTGTTATTTTTTGTTGTTGCTCTTGTACCACTGCCAACGCAGCAGCAGCAGCATCACCACCGATTAATTCATTCCGGAATAGATCCCTTAAGCCAGTCCGATTAGCACGGTTGGTTAGGTACGGTGCGAAATAAGTTAATCATACATACATGTATTTTCATCATCATCATCATCGTAACGTCGTAACATTGCAAGTCAGGTTGATCCACTGCTGGATGAAGGGGGAAAGCGCGTGATTTGCGACGAGTGAAAATCGAGGTAGAAACCGCTTCAGAAACCGCTCATTCACTGATGTTCGCCGCGGTCAGGAGTTGGAACGCACGCATCTGGCAGGGTTTAGAGCGCTCTGCGCTAACCACTGGCCCCCAAGAGATATTATTATTATACTTTTCACGGGTTCCTTGTTTAAGTCAGGGTGGAGCGGTGGCGCGGTTGTTAGCGCGCTGCGCTGGATGAGAAACGCGGCCAACTGCGTTCGATTCCTGGGCCCGGCGAACATGGCTGGCGAGTGATTTACGTGAACCGGTGGGGCCTGTCGGCGTTACATTTTGGCCGGCGTGAATTTGGTTGAGCGTTATCTTTTTTCGTTATCATCAAGAGCCAGTGGCGTATTTACGACATCATCAACTCGGGGGGGGGGGGGGTTACGGAAGATCGTTCAGGTGGGGCCTCAATACTGCTCTGATAACATTTAAAGGAAACAAGATTTGGAACGACGCAAAAAAATGTAAATATTTTCATTTAAAAATACAAATGTAAGCCGTGTTTTCAATATTTTGTTCTTCTTTTTACACTTGTTGAAACATACATCTCATGGTGACTTAGAGCTTTCTTGACTGCAGGAATTCATATTCTTATATATCTACGTGGCTTTACCGAAAGACCCAAAGAATATAAATCTCACGGTGGTTGTCAAGGTGGGCCCCCAACTCGTAGCTTTGGTCACCAGGGGGGGTGGGGGGCAAGGCACCCCCTGCCTGCCCCCACATTCGCTACGCTACTGATCATAACACAAAAACGATCACGTTGTAGGCGTATTGTTGTTATTATTACGACTACGTTTGTTTACCCAGGGAAGCCTCAGCCAGGTCTCATGGCTCCTTTTCAGCAGGGTCCTGCCAAGTTTTGGCAATGGGGGGGGGGCGGGGCATGACTGCTATGTGTATATTCCAAACGAGTATTGTGCGGGTCATTTTTCACACCACGGGGGCCGAACTCTTGCGAATGACATCACCGGATCTTTCACGTTCACTATGAAGCAGACCGGGCTCGTATTTGCAGGGCGCCTCGGTGGCGAGATGCAAATACAGAAGGTCGTGGGTTCGATCCCGACGCCTGCTGTATATTTGGAGTTTGCATTCTCTCTCTCCCCATGGTCGCGTGGATTTTTCTCCGGGTCCTCCGGGGTTTCCCTCCTTCACATTTAGAAAAAGTCGTTTGGAGTATTTGGCTCCTATAAATGTCCACGCGAAAGTTCAGTTCGTTGAGCTATCATTTGTGGCCAGGTCGCTTCTGAAAAAGAGCCGTATAGCTCAGTTGGGCCTTACCTGGTAAAACAAAATTAGATGTATTTTGTAATACACAACCCTCGGTAATAACCAGGGCGGCCACTAGATTTAGAAGCGTGAAATCTCGCCGTTTGATTTGGTGAGCTTATTCCCGAAATAAATAAGAGGTCACAATACAAATTAATCTCGGAGGCCAGAGCTCTGAGCCGGTAACCCTGAGAACCTAAGTTCGAATCTGGAATTTCAGCCGTCAGTGATTAAACCGTGCTGTCGAGCGTAGTCAGCCGATGGTGTCAGCCCCGTCACCAATGACTGGGGAACGGCAACAACAACAAAAGTATGACGTTACAAATTTGTTAAGCATTTAATTTGGCAACATTCCAGCTCGGATAACAATACAAAAAATATTTTTGCTTCTTTCGGTAAAGACACGTAGAAGGAAAATAATAAAATAATCAAAATATTAAACAATTAAATTCTCACGACGTTTCGACTGAAACACAAGCAATCGTCATCAGGTGTGGATTTCGCACCTGATGATGATTATTTCCCTTCTACGTGACTTTACCGAAAGAACCAAGAATATGAATCCCTGTAGTCACGAAAGCTTTAAAAGCAAAATACAAAAAATATTCACATTGGTCTGACGAACATCTCGCTGTGTACCTGGGCGAGTGAAAAAGTGTCCCCCCCCCCCCGCCGTCACTCCGAGTGTGAATAAGCCGTCACTTGAAGGTTTATTTCAGAAGCATTTCTTGAAAGCTTTTTCGGCGGATCGTTTTCACAGATGTGGCGATGCAATAGCCCTGGGAGAGTTCCAAGCGGATATGTTTTCGTCTCGTGACACCACATGCCGATAGCACAATCGGGATACCATTGCGGGAACAAAAAAAAATAGACGTAATAATACAAACATAGCTACAGTTTTGTGTCCAGTCCCAGAGTGAAAAGGGGGTAGCTAGATACTTTCGCAAACTGACCTTCAGGACCGGATCCACTGCTGGATGAAGGTCTCGTGGTGGATATTTGACCATGTTTCACCATGCCGGTCAGTGCGAGTTGGCGAAGGCGGGGTGCACAAACGCTGCAGTGGAGTACAGTACAACAATAGATTTTGTTGCACTGCCCTCTGCTGGCCAAAACGCAGTCCCCTAGGAGCCTTCAAGAGCTGTTTTATGCAGGGCAGTTGCCGAAGCACTTTCCTGGCTCAGCCTGCTTGACTTCCGAAATCTGACAAGATCTGCGCATAGTCTATGTCTCTCGTTCGGTTATATTATTAGCTCAAAATTCTACATTTGAAACACTTCCAAGACATCTGGCGAGCGTGGACGTGTAAGCCAAGTACCCTCTAGGCCAGGGTTCTTAAGCCTTTACTGCTGCCTTGCACCTCTTTGAGTCTCAATCGTATTTTTTTCATAATGATAATATATACATAGAGATTTGATTAAACAAATTAGTTGTACTTACGTGCCCGTACTTAATTTGCGTTTCGATTATTTGCCTTCTAAAAAAAATCTGGCATGTCTCGCACCCCCACAAAGGGCATCTCGTGCCCCCAGATTCTTAACCCTGCACCCCATGATTAAGAACCACTGATATAGACTCTAGCGGGTCTCTATGGAGCTTTCTCTAGTGGAAACCCTTCTGCCAGCAGTGGGATGAGAAAGTTATTGGCTATTGTAAACACGTACCTGTTACACTGCTAAGAATGGGCTAATTATGGATAAAAGTGCCCTGCCCAGAACCCTTGACGACTAAATTTCGATTTAAAGCTTTCGTGACTGCAGGGATTCATCTTCTTGGTTCTTTCGGTAAAGTCACGTAGAAGGGAAGTAATAAAATAATAAAAATAAAACATAAAATAATAAAATAAATATTTCATTATTCTTTATTTCAAAACATAATAAAAATAATAATAAAATAATTACTTTATTATTTTTATTTTATTTTATTACTTCCCTTCTACGTGACTTTACCGAAAAAACCAAGAAGATGAACCCTTGACGTCTGTTTTCAAGCGTTGGGGTGCAAACTACACAGCGTCAAAAAGTGCAGCGTGGTGCATACCTCTGCTCCCTGATTTAATAAAGAGCTTTGTGACATCACAGCAGAGAGCAACATCAGATCAAAAAGCCAGAGGCACGCATAACTGCCAGGCATGGTTTTATTGAAGTGCTAAAGAAAACCAGACTCACACACCCACATGCTGGCCATACAATGTAAGAAGACATAAGCGAAGAATAGTGCAATGGATATCGAGTCATTATGACAATATGCTGCAACCACTATTTTTATTCTTATTGTGTGTCATTGGAGGAGGCATGGTGGCACATTGCCTATGAACCTGGCCAATTGAGTTTGTCACTGGCCACGGCTAAAATGAGTTGCGTGTGAATTTAGATTTAGTTTTTCAACATACACAGAGAGATTGATGTCTCCTCTGTGCTATAAAATGGTCAATTAAACATTTACTCAGCATAATCTTTTATTTTACCAAGTAAGGCCCACTGAGCTGTATAGCTCATTTTCAGATGCGACCTGGCCACAAATGACAGCTCAACAAAGTGGCTTATCACGTGGGAATTTGTAGCAGCCAAACACTCGAAACGCGTGATGTTGATTCTAAACGTGGAGGGAAAAACCGGAGGACCCGGAGAAAAATCCGCGTGACTACGGTGAGAGAGACACGCAAACTCCACATATTCAGACGTCAGTAGTCGGGATTGGACCAACGACATCCTGTATACCAGCCGAGGTAGTTAACATTTCGCCACCGTGGCACCCCGGTATCTCGAGCTAGTTTAGCCCGTGGCCCCAACCGTGATTGGCCAGTGGCTGCCACTCTGCCTCCAGCCGGCCGTGCTGTCGACTCCCTGCACCACTCCTTGTCCTTGTTTAAGTCCGGGCATAACGTTAGTTTCCCCTCCGCCCATGACAGCATCTTGAGATGCGATCGGAGTTGTTACACCATAAAAAAAAACAGCCATACCAATGTGCAATGCTGCTGTGATGTCATGGTTAGGCACGCTGGTCTAGCAATCAAGAGGTCGCCGGTTCAATCCCAAACTTCTGGCACGGCAATTGAAAAACATCAGTGCGAATTTCGCAATTTTCCCCCAGCCTCTGTCCACCCCAGCTTTACGAATGGGTTCGCCTGAGGTCAGTTGATCAGCAGGCTGCTCGCAGCGCGGGTAAACTATGGTTACTCCCATTTCTTTTCAAGACGCCTGGTTAATGTGAAAGAGTAGACAAAATACCCTCTGGGGTTCCCTCTAGCGAATGCCCTTCTACCAGCAGTGGTGTGACCACTGCTGGCCAACTCTACCTTTGGGCGCTACGGTGGCGAGATGTTAACTACGTCGCCAGGTATACAGATGGTCGTGGGTTCGACCCTGACCCTGACGCCTGCTGTATATTTGGAGTTTGCGTGGTGGTTAGATGTTAACTACGTCGCTTGGTATACAGGTGGTCGTGGGTTCGACCCTGATCCTGACGCCCGCTCTATATTTTGAGTTTGCACGTTTTCCCCGTGGTCGCGTGGAATTTTTCTCTGGGTCCTGCGTGTTTCTCCCCCCACATTTCGAATCAACATCCACGCGTTCAGAGTATTTCTCTGCCGCGTGACATTTCCACGCGACGACGACAAGCCACTTCGTTGAGCTATCATTTGCGATGGCCAGGGTCGCTTCTGAACAAATAAATAAATAAAGAGATAGAGAGCCCTACAGCTCAGTGGGGCCTCACCTGGTTTAAAAAAAATGTTGAAATAATTTGTTTAATAAATCCACGCTGTGCCGTGCCCGCTAACACGACGCGGTCTCTCCCCCCCCCCCCCCCCCCCCAGAGTACAACGGTGGCGGCGGAGGCGGCGGGATGAAAGCGTTCGACCTCTTCGAGCTCACCAAGCTGAGCCGCAGCAACGCCGGCGTGAAGCCCGTCAAGGGGCCCGAGCGGGGCCCCGCCTTCAAGATCGTCAAGGCGGCCAAGATCCCGGCGGTGACGGGCCAGCCCCTCGAGGAGCTCGTGGAGGCGCTGCGCCGTGACGAGGGCTTCACCTTCCAGGCGACGCTGCGGCAGGAGAAGCGCAGCACCGGCACGCTCGTGTCCGTCGGGCCCCTGGCGAAGACGTCGCCGCGCCTCTTCGAGATCATCTCGAACGGGCGCGCCGACACGCTCGACCTGGCGTACGCGGTGAACGGCGAGCAGAGCGTCTTCTCCTTCGAGGAGGTGGAGCTGGCGACGCCGCAGTGGAAGAACGTGACGCTGCACGTGTCGGGCGAGGACGCCGAGCTGTACGTGGGCTGCGAGCGAGTGGACACGCTCACCCTGGAGGGCCTCAACTTCGAGCAGCTCGCGGCCGAGGGCAACGCGCTACGGCTCGGGAAGGGCGCCCTCAAGGACGCCGACGACTTCAAGGTGATCCGCGGGGTCGGAGGGGCACGGTCTTCGGAGGGGTTTTTTTTTTGTTTCACGCGCGAGCGAATGTCGAGGCGGGTGCTCGGCCGGTGTAAAGAGCTCGCTCCGATAACGCGGGGGGGTGGGGGGGCGAGTCTATCCGTAAGACAACCGCTGGTGACTTCCCCAGAAAAGCTGAACTAATTTTTTCGACCCCATCCCACCCCCCCCGAGTCAACCGTGAAATAGGAATTTAATTTGCAATATTCCGATGGCGAGTCACCCGCTTGGCCGCTGAAGCTACCCGGCTGGTATCGGCTGTCACAATAGTGACGGCGGTGGTGATGATAGCCCCGGGTTTTGGCCTGGGGTTATGATCACTGTCACGATGATCGCCCCAGGCCAACCGCCGGGGGGTGGGGGGGCGTGGTGATGATAACTTCCAGGCCAACCTGAGAGCCATCATCACCACCGCTGTCATCATAGCGACGGCGGTGGTGATGATAGCCCCAGGGTGGTCTGGATGCTCGTGGATGAGAAACTGTGAGCCGGCACCGCTGAGATGCTGAGATGCCGGTATCAGCTGCCCGTTATTAAAGTGACTCAACGGCTGTCCCAGTCCAGTCGGCAGTGACAATAATAACACTCACCTCATTAAACGTGCGGGATTTCTTCGATTTGGCTTAATTCCATCCCGGAGAATTAAACGTATTGGCCTGATTGTCATCCGACAGACACTATTCTGTCTTACGAGAGTTAAACATCGTGGTTTGACTGTCAAATATGGCCTCTCTTGGGCAGGGCGAGTGAGAAGGTGGACCTTGTGATGTGTCGATAAAAACAGGTCACATGAAGGGGAATGTCAGAAGTAGTTCTGTGATTGCACCTTCCACGTGCCGCTTTCTAACGTGGGGTGATGATGATTATGACCTGCCCCGCAAGAGCTCAAAATAGTGTCGTCGCGTGACATGAAGCCAACAGCGCAATTGCAATTCTATTCGGGAAAATAAATTGGCCATGATAGTGATGCCCTTTTATATTTATACGGAAAAATCTCACCGGAAACATCAACGAAAGAACATTTTTCAGGAGGGTCCTGCATTGCTAAATTTGGTCAATTCCATCAATAGAGGAGGAAACCAAAGGTTCCTGGAGAAAACCCAATCACATGTAAAGGGGGAAATCCGGAGGGCTGCACACCAGATGGATTCAAGAATCCGTTTGCCATACTGTCGTCTCCTGGCCACCCGTCAGGTCAGCTGTTTTGAAGGTTTCACAAATCTGCACGATTTACCAAAACCCGTACCTCCAGCGAATTGCAATAACAACAACGCAAAGATGGCCTATCCAACCCGAATTGTGATGGGGACAGTTCATTGTCCGTCATGGGCGGATAAAACCATGTACCGCTTTGTGGAAAGTTACCTAGTAGTCTTCCTAGAGCATACGCGAATGGAATGTGAAAATTCGCCCACTTGTCATGAGACACATTGACGTTTTCACATCATCATCACCCCTGCTAAATTAAGCACGATTTTGTTACCAGTTTGATTGCGTAGCCTGGTAGCGGTGGCTATGCACATGGCCTTTAATCGAGCACTATGCAGGCATCTATGGTTGGTGGATCACCACATAAATGGGTTGTGCAACTCCCTTAACGTGGGTGTCGAGGTAGTGCCATACCCTGGCCGAACCGGGAGAATGCAGTACAGCAAAAATGTGGAATATCCGTTTGGGATAGAGCGTTGTTCCCTCACACACGTGGATTTCCTCCAGGGTGCTCCGATTTCCTCCCACGCGTATGAACGCTAATTAATTGGCCGGTACCGCCTTAACACATCGAGGACCGCAGAACTTGGGCAATCGCTGGCGCCGGCTCACAGCCTGCCTGCCACCTCTCTCTCTCTCTCTTCGAGAGCGAGCGGATACTGCGCGCTTTACAAACTGACGTTATTATTCATCATCACGATCCATGGGCAGGTGGCCCCTAGGTGTCCACTGCACATGTCGTCATTTGTTTCCACTTTACTCTCTGTCGTGTGCCAGTGTGGCTCAAGCAGTGGCAACATTTTTCTGGCACCAATATCTTGTGATGTCCTCGTCAAGCCCTTCTCTGTGAGGTCTTCCTCTCTCTCCGGTTCCTTCCATTTTTAAATCCTTTATATTAAGTTCACTTGCTTGCTTGCTTGCGCGCTTACGACAGTGAAAATCTTTCGGTCGTTTTTTAACCCACTTCCCGTGATCCAATCGAGCTGACATTTTGCACACAGACTCGTTGCGCGTGACAATTTGTATTCGTGAAAATTTTTTCCATAACTTTACACTTTTTAGGAAAAAATAAATTTTATTTAATTACCAATTGCTTAATGGTGGCAGGCAATCATCTGACACATAAGTGGCAGCCATCTCAAGCCAGAGGAAGAGAGGACTCTAGCCGCCACGCATATAAAGGATTTATAGTGAAAAACTTTGTTTTAACGGGTTAATTTTTTCCGAACAACAACAACAAGAACGCACTTTGAATTTTCCTGATTTTTTGTTATATTATTGTTACGATACAACGGTTCATCCGAGATGTGCTTTTTCTTCGCAGAGTGACTGTGTGTGTGTGTGTTCATATCGGGCGATTGTGCTGCGAGTTAACGCGCAGGCCTCGCTTTGTCTCCCCTGCAACCCGTCCCTCGTGCGCTCTCAAGGGGGCCTTGCAAAACATTCGCTTCGTGTTCGGCACCACGGTGGAGGACATCCTACGAAGCAAGGGCTGCCCTGCCGCCCAGCGGACACGTAAGCAAGGAGCTTCCTTGATTTCTCTCGCCGGTTCCCCCTCCCCCCCCGTCCATCCGCCACCCTCCACCGCATCTCCGGTTCGAGTAGTCGGCTATGCACGGTGCGAAAGAAGTTCAAGATACGTACGTATGTACTTTCAGGACAACCACCATTGACTTCCCCACAAAGTGGTACTCGTTTAACCGGCCTGAGTCAACACCCAACCAGGATTTTAACTGGCGACCATCCCAGATCAACATCCAGATGTCACCATGGCCAAAGCGCTGATGCGACCAAACCTCGCCAATGTTGCACACCTTGCGCCAGATTCCATAGCTGCGTTGGATTTGGCGATATAGATAATTCAAAATTAATACAGGGTGGATAAAATGGGTATCACTCTGTGGACAGTCTACAACAGTGGTCATTGTCAGAACATACTTGCCACCGTCATGGCAATGTGGAATGTTACGCCGCTGGCGCAGGGCTGCCAATGGCAATGAGTCATGCCCCGTGCTTGTTTGGGCAGAGGTGCACGTATTTCCTTGGGCTAACATTGCGCCCGGCAATTTTTTGTTCCATCAAATAAATAAAGCACATGTGCTCGACCTATTAAAACGCTCGTTTCATGACCGCCACCTACTGAGAGAAATGCAGCAGAGAGGTTTAAAAAAAAAAATTGTAACCGCCGACACATTTAAAAAAAACAACACAAATTTAAAGGTGCAGCCCCGCAATTTTTTGCTTGTCGAACCGCTGGCGGAAGAGCCGCCACTTGAAGAGGGAGCTCTACGGTGGGCCATCGGGAGGATACTTCTTTGGCCGACCCATTCCACGCCGGCCAGACGCCTTGGAAGATTTGGGGCGTACCCACGTTTTTACCCCACCACAACCACGCGCGCATCTCCTGCCGATCGACCTGCGGTGACCCCATTTATACCGCTGGGTGGGCAGAAGCAGGGGGCGCGGGGAGGGGAGGGGGTGGCCCCGGGGGGTGGGGGGCGGGAGGGGGAATTTAAGAACCTCTCACCGTTGTTTCGACTGCCGTGCTGGGAGAATGACTTTTCGCCCCGACCTTGAAGCCCGGCGCACCATTACAACATTGTGGCAGCATCCCTTTAAAAAAGAAAATTAACATGCGGAAATGTGGATGCCAGCTCATTGCTTGCCTTTGAGAATAAAAAAAACAATTCACCTGGAAGATTGGATTCCTCGGGACAACAAATGTAAACTATTTTTATTTATTTATTTTACCTGGTAAGGACCACTGAGCTATGTAGCTATTTTTCAGAAGCGACCTGGTCACAAATGATAGCTCGACGAAATGGCTTATCATCACGTGGAAATGTACAGCAGCCGAATGCTCTAAACACGTGATGTTGATTCTAAATGTGGAGGGAAAACCGGAGGACCCGGAGAAAAATCCACGCGATCACCGGGAAAAATACATGCAAACTCCAAATATACAGCAGGCGTCAGGGTCAGGATCTAACTCACGACCTCCTGTATACCAGGCGAGGTAGTTAACATCTCCTAGCCACCACGTGTAGGAAGTTGTAACGGTCGCGCTCTGGAGCTGTATCGCGCGAAAGTTAGGAAACGGTGTCCGTCGTTTCGCCCCACGTGCCCGGAGCTTCGATTGAGCTCACGAAGACAACCAAATTCAGTTCCTCAAGAAGCCTCCGTGCGCGTGTGAGCGAAACGCCGGACGTCGTGCCGACGACCCCGACAGCGCGTCGCGGAGAGAGCTGTTGACATATTTGCAATGCTGCGGCGACTTCTTTTTAGTACCGCTCCGCTTTTTCGTATGTTGGTGATTCGTTGAGTCTTACGCGACGTTTGTCCACCATAACAGATCTAACACAGATATCGCCTTTGCCGTGTGTCGGTTGTGGGCCCAATCGCAGCTGTGCACTGCGTTGCCTTACATAGGCTTGAAGGGTTGTTTTGATTTGCTTCAGCAGAAAGCGGCAACGTTTAATCTGAGAAATCTAAGAAAGTCTTTTTTTTTATCGAAGGCTAGTCAATATTTTTGGGCAGAATGTACACGGCGTGGAGCACAAACGCTGCCGTCCGTGCCTTGAAAAGGTCGTCTTCCTTATTTGACTCATTTGGGTTTGTGTAAATATAATTGACAACGAAGTGTGGCCAATTTTCGCTCCGTGGAATAACAACAAATGGCTAATTTAAGTGCCGCACTATAATTACACTGCCGATAATTAACTCACCGGGGGAGAGATTACAGCACCGCGGTTAGCGCAGTGCGCTATAAGCCCGACGGATGGGAGTTCGACTCCTGGCCACGGCTAACATCAGTGTCAAATGATATCTCAACCGCTCCTGAGCTCACGAACTCTCTTCAACCATCTGTGCTAATCATCGTGGTGAAATGTGGTCGATCAGCCCCAACGTTCCGTGCAATGGCTCTCCCATCATGCTGAAGAAGGGCCGTTGCGTGAAACATTTGTTCCTCTGTAGGGCGGCATTAATGACTAATGTGTCAAGTCTACGTTTTTTGGAGTCACACAAGGAGCCAATGTAACTGGGCAGCCCAAGCCGCTACCTCTGTGTTTTGTGAAACCTGAGCGGGAGAGGAGCGAAGTCTGGCATTGCCGTTATTGTTTTTCCACTGTGAACAAAAAAAACACTACTTGGCTAAAAGGGCAATAGGCAGGCAAGAAGGTCTACTGTATATTATTTTGGGAAATTTGTACGAAAATCAAACTGCAGACTGTGCATTCCGACCTTCCAAGACGTGACGCCAGTTCGTGCAATAAATATATACGCACACACACACACACACGGTGGTGTAAGATATGTGGTTATGGTGAACTTCTTTCACACCGTACGTAGCCAACCCTGCCAATCGGAGGGGTGCGGTCAGCACCACCGGATTTGCGATTCGGAGGTCGCCGGCCCGATTCCATCTCCCGAAGCGCCGCGGTTGAAGCAACGGCGCGGGTTTCTTAAATCTCCCCCATCACCCTCACCCTCACCTCCTACCGCCCCTGTCGACCCAGCAGCGTAATTGGGTTACACCGCGGTTAATGGATCAACAGGTGGAGCGCGGTGGGGTAAAGTGTTGGTGATCCCATTGCAAAGTGCAGGGCTGTGCTTTCACCTCTTAATTTTCCTTTCTTAATTCACACTCGGGGAATGGAGGGGGTGGGGGCGAAAGGTTTTGGTTTGGACCTGTAACTCATCACAATGCAGTCCGACCACCTTCCCGAGCCGCGCACTTTGCTCCGAGCGACGCTGCCACATTCGTGCGGCGAGATGTTGCAAGCCAGACTCTGTCGAGCGGTCTGCGGTCTTGCGAAGGAATTCGTTTTTTTTTGTGTTGCTGCTGTTTGTGTTTCCCTTCGGTGGTTGCTATGGAAGGGGCGAACATCAGTTGGCCTCCACCTCGCGGTCGCGGCTGGCGTACGCTCGGGAGACCACGGAACGCAATGCGATCAAAGTCGAATTTCAAAGGACAATGGGGACTCGATTCTCGAGTAACCCTCGCCGACGTAGACGCTCCAAGCGATCTGATCAAATCGTCGCCGATACGCTGGTGGTGAAATTCGGTCGTGAGATGTCTTCAGCCGCTGGCGAGCAGCTTTATTGGTCCGAATTTGATGGATGTATTGGCCCCAGATAAATTCTGTTTGTAAATGTGATAATATCGTCGGGTGGTGGAGGGCTTACTCACAAAAGTGTTGGCATTAAACTGCCACGTGGCCAGACACAAAAACAAACATGGATCGTTGTGTAGACTATGGGAACCCACTTTTCAGGAGCTATGGAAATTGATTGTCTTACTCTTAGGTTCTTTTGGTTAAGTCACGTAGATAGGAAAATAAATACATAATAGATCACGACGTTTCGATCGCAACAACAAGCGATCGTCCTCAGGTGAAAGAGAGAAACATGCCTCTGTGACAGGGCATTATACAGAGGGGGGGGGGGGGGAGGAAAGGCCGCAAAGGGGCGAGAGAGTGGGGATAAAATTATAAAATATATATTTTCCTACCTACGTGACTTTACCGAAAGAACCTAAAAGTATGAAATCCTGCAGTCATGAAAGCTTCTAATCAATATTGATTTTCTTCTTGCTGGCGATTAATCATTGACTTATGAGTGGTAGAGATCAGGTTTTGTAATGACTGATGCTATGAAAACATAGATCATAAAATCAATCATATAAATGGCATAGATCATTATATACTTGGTTGAACTGCGTTCCTGATTTTTGGATTAGATCAAAAACTTTTCAAAATCTGTCCTAAAATTTTTACTTTGATTGATTCACAACCATGTTTTGTCTAAGATTGATCCAAAAGTATAACATAACATCACTTTTGCGTCTTTCCCGGCAAAACTTGTGTCACGTGGCAATAGGCAACCTCACTTTCGTTAGCGCGTTCAATTTTCACATCACGTTAATAATCTGCAAATTTGGAACAAGATCCCAAATTGTGCTTTAAAAAACGCAAAATGCTGATTTTTTTTTTTACCATTTATTTATTCCGAATCTTATCCGAGCAGGGTTTGAGCTCACAACTCCCTCCGCTGAGCCACCTGGCCAGATTGCAACACGGGGCTGTACGTGGATTAGAGAAGACACGTACATGGCGTGAGCTGGGAAGAAGTTATTACCTTGAGCAACATACTTCCCCTTAGTGAATAGATGATGATGATGCTGATGAATTAAGGGACGCGTTCTGGCAAACGTGGCACGCACGAGGATCCGCTCGGCTTGAACGGCAGTGAAACGTCCTCACTTCGTACTAAAGCTTCGAATCGAGATTGTCCTCACTTCACTCGTGAGCTAAACCAGTTGTACTGGGGGGAGGATCGAGTGGACACACGGAGCGCGGTTAAGTCTGTCAACATCTCGCACATGTTCGAAGCACAATGGACAATGACATCAACGCGTGGCATATGCCTGAATGTACAGGGTGGCCCACATTTTGAGTTTTCCCAATATAGTACAGGCATCTCCATCTTTAACCTAAAATGAAAAAAATGATAATAAAAAAAATCTAAACTCTTAAGAAATCAATTGTTGAAAAAAGAATGTCAATGTTAAGTTGCACTTCATCTCGGTATTCTGCAAACTCATTACGCGTCGTTATGGATAAATACAAATATAAGCAGAACTCCGCTCTCTGTCTGCACAAATGTGAACAAATATCTTCTACTCCATTGGCCTATCGGCTTTCCGGACCAACATTACCCACCAGAGATTGATTTAAACCAGCAAATGTACCTGTTTAAGTTCACTTGCCGAAACAAATATAGCAGAACAACACTGGATTGTTATATATATATACAGGATCACACCTGTGACGTAAGATCATGTCTATAGCGCCTTCACTCAAGGCACTTGACAGAGCTTATGAGCCGATGACCGAGTGGAATGATGCAGTTGGCAGGTGCGGCACAAGGATTGAGGAATGAGTGACAGCGATTGAGGGGTTACTTAGGGACCCCGAGAGGGCTATTGGGGAGGGACGGGAACGAGTGGTGTGGGACGAGGGGAGGGAATGGGCAAGGGATAAGAGGTGAGCGTGATGATGATTATTGATGGACGAGGTGAAGGTTTCCTGGTTTGTTTGAGAAGCTGGGATCGTGGTCTGGGATGTGTTGACACCTAATGGACTCATTGGTTTGCCGTCATAACCTTTTTGTTGCTGTTTTACAGCCATTTCTTCATTGATTATTTTAGATTGTGCTCAATAGTGGCGTTGTCGTTTTACTCGGTAAGTGGATGTATATGTGATTTGGTCCTTGCGTAGAATCAATGTACAGCGTTATTGGACGCTATGAGCATGTGAATGACTCTGTTAATTACTACGGGCATGTGAATGACTCTGTTTGTTGCATTATCACCTCGTTCCCACTTCCGCAGCGGTGCTTGCAGGAAACAAGCTGAACTTCATGAACCCGCAGCTCGGGGGATTGGGTGACCAGTGCGACATGTCCTGCAACGCCGTGTCGGAGATGGTCCGGGAGCTCCGTGGCATTCAGAGGGCGGTCACCACGTTAGTGAGCGGCTTCGACGATGTGGTGAGTGGCCATCACGTCCGATCCCCTCGGTTGCAAGTGAATGTTTTGACTCTGGAAACAATCTGCTTGTGGAGTGGCCCACGCGGTCATCGTGCTGACCCCGTCTCTGATTATGTCTGCACGTGTGGTGAACTTCTTTTGCGCCGTACGTAGCCAACCGTGCTAATCGGAGGCGTTGGTATTCACAAACAGCGTTAATATTCACCACAGAGGAGGAAACTTTTGTCTCCAAACCTCAGATATCGGAGGCCCCTTTTAGAGGTGGATCAAGTGCCACCCAATACCACTATTGTGCCCAGCCACAAGTGGCCAGCCTGCCGGTATTCCGGCTCCCGTCATAGGAACGTCGAACTGCCATAATGTCGTCACAATGGCCCAAGACACGAGCGCCAGTCCACCGTGCGTATGTCGAGGGCGGAGGCTGACGAAGATGGAGCCTCGCAGTTTGGCAACGATGGAGACCGGGACGGGGATTGGGCCCCCCCCCCCCCCCCTGAGTGTGTGCCACCGTCCCCTGACGCGTGGACGATGCTGCCGCTCGTGATTTTCGTGGGCGCAGAGAAACCAGACGGACCTCATCAGCAAGGGGATCGGCTTCAACAAGAGAGGCGAGTGCCACTTCGAAGGGACGCAGTTTGCCAACGGCACCAACTGGACGGTGGACACCTGCACGTCCTGCACATGTGAGGTAGGTCATCATCATGGCCGTCGTCGTCATGATTATCGTCGTGATCATTATCGTCGTGATCATCGTCATCACGATCGTCGTCGTCATCATCATCATGATTATTCTTCTTGGTTCTTTCGGTAAAGTCACGTAGAAGGGAAGTAATAAAATAATAAAAATAAAACATAATAAAATTATTCTCACGACGTTTCGGCCACAATGCAAGAAGCCGTCCTCAGGTGAAAACCAGGTCCGTCGAGGCGACAGAGTCTGAATGAAACAGCACACGAGCTTGGAGCATATATATAAGCTGGGCGCCTAGACAAAGGAATTTGGATATCAAGAGGAATTTAGCATATTTATGGGAAATGCAGGAATGTGATTAGTACTACATATGCATGTGCATTATGCAGGATTAACAGCATCAAAGGGAGCTGCAGTTGCTGCTGCTGCTGCTGCTGCAGTTATCATCATCGTCGTCATCATGACCATCATCATCATCATCGTCGTCATCATGACCATCATCATCGTCGTCGTCGTCGTCATCATCTTCATCATCGTCATGCTCATCATGATCATCAGCATCTCATCATCATCGTTGTCATCATGACCATCATCATCATCATCGTCTCTTCGTCATCATGATCATCATCACCATTATTGTCATCTTCATCATCGTCATGCTCATCATGATCATTATCGTCATCGTCATCATCATCGTTGTTGTCGTCCTCATGATTGTCATCGAAATCAAAGTTATTTGGTGATTCCGCTTCTGTCACTGCTGCGTTGGGAGTAGTACGCAAAGCACAAATAACAAAACAACTCCTAGTCGGTGGCGCGTCTTCGTAGGTGAGAGATCCCTCATAACAGAAAAGACGTTTCGGACAATAGCCCTTATTTAATTCTTTTGTTTTTTATGGCAGCCTTCTTGACGCATATACATCGTGGGAGTTTTGTAAAAACATATATTTTTTTACAATTAAACTTGTTTATGTTTCATGAAACAAAATCTCACTGGGAGAGCATCACGCCACTGACTCCCCTCTACTACAGCCACAGTAATGTGGAATTTCCACCATTGCCTCGAGACCGAGACAACAGAGGTAAACACTGCTACGCGTGCCTTCGAGCAGCTTAGACTCAAGCCAACTTTGACTTTTAACTTCACCTCTGCATACGAATCTTTTACATTTATTTATTTTCATCCCACCTTTTTCGCTCGTATTCAGTCGTGCGTCCAGAGCCACATTCCTCGCGATCGCCGGCGATGCCTCTGCACCACGTGTGAACGCTCCTCACTTCTCCCCCCCCGCTACCCTGCCCCCCCTCGCACCCCCCCCCCCCCAGGAATCCGTGACATTTTGCCGGCAAATCAGCTGCCAAGAGGTTTCGTGCAACAACGCCACCACGCCGGAGGGCGAGTGCTGCCCGACGTGCTATGGTGAGTCTGCAGCCAATCGGAGCATGGGGGGGGTGGAGTGGGGGTATTAAGCACCCCCCCCCCTACGTGTGGAGACGGCCGGATGGCTCAGAGGTCAGAGGTCAGAGCATTGAGCTGCCACCGCTGAGAATCCTGGGGTCGAATCCAGGTTTCACCGCCGCTTCCTCCTCCTCCTCCTGGGATTTGAACCGTGGCCTCAAGTGCAGAGGGTGAGGGATGGTTTTGGCCCAGTCGCTAATGAATGCGCGGAAATAATAAAAATAAAACATCACATTAGGTTCGGGTTCTGCCCTTAACTTGACTGAATTCCAGCCTCTTCCAATTAAAGTATCGGGTTGGCTGCCACGCGATGAACCTTCCTCTCGTACGCAGAGCGAGTGGGAGAATGCTGCCCGGTGCCGTAGCGTAGACGGGAGGTCAATCAGTTGAAGGAATCTCAGAGGTAGCTCTGTGGTGTCCGCTTCCGCGGGCCGTTCTCCAGCACTTAGGGTCGCACTGATTGCTCTGTGAGAGATATGAAAGGGTGATGCCAATTGCGCAATGCATGTATGCATGTATGTATGTGTGTTGAACTTACACCATTGGAATCTCCTTTGCCAGTAGAAAAATATGATAATTGTTTTTTATCCTTTTATCTGGAAACAAAACTGACACCTTTTTCTCAAGGACAGTGCATACATTATCAGAGTTGTGTTTTTTGTTTGCATTCTGACTGCAGGTATTGTGATCAATGCAAACATGACTCCTTGTAAAAAAGGTGTCAGTTTTGTTGCCAGATAAAAGAGTAAAAAAACAATTATCACGTGTTGAACTTATTTCACACTGTACGTAGTCAACCGCGCTAATCGGAGGTGTGGGGGAAGGACAACAAACGAACACACGAAAAGCAGTTCTAAAGAAGTGAGTTTTCAATCTAGACGATGATTTTTTTAAGTGCAAAGCTCCCAGTGGCTTCATAATATCGGAGGGAAGAGCATTCCAGACGGCCGCACAAGCGCACCTGAAAGCTTGCGATGTGGTGACCGTGTTTGTGCGATGGCGAGCCTAAATCTGCTGCTGCGAGGATGACCGGAGTTCGCAATCGGGAGGAGGCAGGCGGGGAAATTAACCCCCAAAAACAACGACAATGGCCCCAGCGCAGTCCGTGATATATCCTAACCCCCGGTAGGTGAATGTGGAGGCTGTCCGGAGTGCCAAGTTCAAGAGGAGTCTCAGCCTTTCGAACGTTTTTTGGCGGTTAGAATTAATCCCAGATTTCTGGAAGAGAATCCCAGTCGCGTATAACTCACTCGCCGCGGTGTTTGGTGAGCGGCGAGGGAGCGAACGCGCCTGCCCTTCTGGCCAAGGAATTTCCGCCACCGTGAAATGTTGCGGTCGAGTTTTTCCCAGGCAAATTTCTTTTCCTCACCCCCCCCCCCTCCCGTCCTGGTTTTTTTCATCATGAATGTGAACCGACGGCAAAAGATAACGGAGAGAGGCTTGACCCTTTCACAGTGTTTTGCAACGACGGCGTGGAGCCACTGGTGAAAAATTCCACACTCGAAAGAACTAAACTATTTTTTTTTATTTTACCAGGTGAGGCCCACTGAGTTATACAGTACAGCCCTTTTATTTCAGAAGCGATCTTGGCTATCACAAATTATAGCTCAAGGAAGATGCGATTCACGTGGAAATTTATAGCAGCATCCAAATACTCTAAACGCACGTTTCTGAACAAATCGGGCGTCCGTCTTTCTCTTGCGTATGGCTGGACGATAGTAACTAATATTTCTAGATTTGAAGCTTTCGTGATTGCAAGGATTCATATTCTTAGGTTTTTTCGGTAAAGTCACGTAGGTAAAAACATTTTAATTAATAAAAGTAAAAATAAAATAAAAAATAAAATAAAAATCACGACGTTTCGGAGGCAACACAAGCTTCCGTCTTCAGGTGGAACCGTCACAGCACGATAGGTGTATCAAGTGACAGCACGATAGCTGTATCAAGTGATACAGCTATCGTGCTGTGACGGTTCCACCTGAAGATGGAAGCTTGTGTTGCCTCCGAAACGTCGTGATTTTTATTTTATTTTATTTTTTATTTTTACTTTTATTAATTTTAATTTTCTACCTATGTGACTTTACCGAAAAAACTTAAGAATATAGCAACTAATATGTATGTCTGGACCATAGCTAGCTAGGGAACAGCTCCAAGTGCTGTGGACTGTTGCTGTGTGGACCCGCATAGAGACCCATAAACTCAACGAGAAACCATTAGATTCACACGGACACCGATAGACTCGCATAGAGACCCATAGATTCACATCGAGACTTATACCTTGACATCGAGACCCGTTAGACTCGAATAGAGACTCAACAGACTCGCACAGAGCGGCCACTCAAAATACTAAGCGTTGAACTGTAGCGAATGTGAAGCCCGCTGGCTCTGCATGCGATCAAAAATAAAAAACCGTGCGGACGATTAGATATTGACTGGGAGCCCAGCGCTGTTCGCCTATAGCCACTGGGATAAACCGGGCAGTCAGCCAAAGCCCCAACTCCTGCAGACGCCTATTTACATTTCTCGGGGAGTGGGGGGGGATTGCCACGCAGTTCGCCATTTGCTATTCTAAGCGGATAGCAAAACCCTCCAGCCCTAACCCTTCCCACCACCATCATGACATCATGCGTGAGTGCAAGCCATCTCTCGATGAAGTCACCGTATAAAGCACACATTTTGCCAATGACCTACATATATAGACGGCGTGACACGGAACCAAAGGCCCGTGGGTAATCAATTCGAAGTCGTCCCGTCCTCCTGGCTGTCGTTCTGGTCACCCATCAGTTGCGTCATTTCCAAAAAAGTAACGGAAACGATTTTCGGAAAGAGAAAAACACGTGACCGCGGGGGGAGAAACATGCAAGCTTTAAAAATATAGCAGGCGTCCGGGTCTGGATAGAACCCACGACCTCCCATCGTACGTAGCCAATCGTGCTAATCGGAGGTGCCGGAGGGAGGGAAGGGGAGAGGGGGTGAAGGACAACAACATGAAACACGAACAACACACTCACAAAAAACCCGAAATTGTTATCGGCACAACGAGACGACGCTTTTTTTCCCCACTTTCCGTTAACTTTTCGCGCTCGATACAATTTGCAAATGGGGCGCGCCAACAGGAGGGCCGATGTGCCACGAGGTGAGCGCCCTTGCGTCCGCACAACGTCTGCACCGTTACGTTTCACGAAGGCCACGCGCAATCAATTGCTGAGACACGTGGTGGGGTGGGGTGGGGGGTCAACTCCCCATAAAGCAACACACGATGTTGACTCAAGGGTGCCGTCATGGGTGCTTTTTGTTGCTTGGATAAGCTAGCGGCAGAGGAGCACGCTACGGACAGAATCATTACATTTACTTGCCAAATCATCGTCTTTAAAAAGAACTGTGTGAGAGGCCACATAGAGAGGTGACAATGTGACACGTGGTGGTTTCTTTTTGTACAATCGCGGCCTTTGCAGCGTCGTCCAGTGGACAGACTAAGGGGGGGGGAGGAGGCGGAGGGGGTTGAAATGTGCACCTGGCCAACGCGGTTCCACGTCTCAGGGATCGAAGCCGTGAAATCCTCAAGAGTTCAATAACAACAACAAATATCAACAGACAACAACAACAGCAACATACAACAGCAACAAAGGACAGACAACAACAACAACAGACAACAGACAACAACAACAAAGGACAGACAAAAATTCCCACCGCGTTCGTTCAATGAAGGCTGCCCGAACAGAAACATTTCACGATCGGCGATGTTCCGGACGGTGTGGCCCTTCTTGCCTCTGCCGTGAAAATGGGGCCGTCGCCTTAAACGTCTGCGCTTGGCTACTGAGATCTAATGGGATCGGGTACATTATAGGAGATTGTCAACGGGCCAATATAAATTATATATACTATTTGTATATAATGGATACAGATTTGCCAACTCTAGTCAAGGGAGAATCCGAATCTGAGCGTGGTTGAAGCCAGTTGGGCACATGCAAGACCAGGATGCCATCCATCGATGTCACCTGGAAATCTTATCGACGCGTCTAACCCATCACCAACCTCCCCGTGCCCCCCTCTGTGTCCCCTGAACCCCCCCCTCCCACCACCACCACCACCACACACCATGCCTCCTTTGTTGCCATGGCAGTGCTGGAGGAGGGCTGGTCGCCGTGGTCCGAGTGGACGTCGTGCACCGTGTCTTGCGGGCGCGGGCTGCAGCAGCGCGGCCGCTCGTGCGACCGCATCAAGCACGAGTGCCAGGGCCCGTCCATCCAGACGCGCACGTGCCACCAGCGGGAGTGCGACAAGCGCAGTGAGTCACGCGCGCACGTGCCACTAGCGTTAGTGGGACGCACGCACGTGCCACTAGCGTTAGTGGCACGCACGCACGCACGTGCCACTAGCGTTAGTGGCACGCACGCACGCACGTGCCACTAGCGTTAGTGGCACGCACGCACGCACGTGCCACTAGCGTTAGTGGCACGCACGCACGCACGTGCCACTAGCGTTAGTGGCACGCACGCACGCATGTGCCACTAGCAATAGTGGCATGCACGCATGCGCGCACGCACGCACGTGCCACTAGCGTTAGTGGGACGCGCGCACGTGCCACCACCTCCGATTTGCACGGTTGGCTACGAGCCGTTGCGAAAGAAGTTCGACATGCCGACGTATTTTTTTTATTTAAAGCTTTCGTGACTGCAGGGATTCATATTCTTGGTTCTTTCGGTAAAGTCACGTAGAAGGGAAATAATAAAATAATATAAATATAAAACAATAGAAATTCTCACGACGTTTCGACTGCAACACAAGCAATCATCATCAGGTGCTGTGGATTTCACACCTGATGACTTTACCGAAGCTTGACGCGCGTACGTTCGTCTGTACGTGTGTACAGTCTGTTCTCCTATAACGTGGTCGTTGCATTCCTGAACAACACCGCGTTCTGGGAAAATCTGGTTATAATGAATAATGTATGATGTAGGGTAAAGCACAGTCCATGATAACACCGTGAGGTGCGTACGCAGGCCGAACAAAGACCGAGGCACGTGGGTAGCATCTAGAAGCATCCAGCAGCATTCCGCCTTGCGTGACGCTTATTCCTACTCGCCTGATGTCGTTCCATTCACTCGCGTTATATCAAATTCGCAGCCACGTTATAAAAAAAAAAGTCTTCCCTAGTACATTCAGCGCGTGACACATATATACAATCTGCGTTATGAAAACACCGCGCGGCGTCACAGGAGAACACGACCGCACGTGCGTTGAACTTCTTCCGCCCCCGCCCTCACCACCACCCTCCTCTCCCGGCGTGGCGTGCGGCAGTCCGCCAGGACGGCGGCTGGAGCCACTGGTCGCCGTGGTCTTCGTGCTCGGCGACGTGCGGCGTGGGCTCCAGCACGCGCATGCGGCTCTGCAACTCCCCGACGCCGCAGTTGGGCGGCGAGGACTGCGCTGGCAGCGGGCGCGACACCAAGGAGTGCAATCTGATGCCCTGCCCCGGTGAGCGAGTGCCGACAACCACCGTCTCGCTCTGATCTCCCCCCCCCCAAACCATCGACCTGACCTCTGCTCCGGTGATCTCGCGACCTTTCCGACGTCGCTGGCTCTGGCTACGCTCGGCTGTGGGCGAGGTCGCTCGTCCTTCCACGGCGTCTCTCCTCTTTAGCCGAGATGCCCCTGCCTGTACAATTCCGCGGGTCAACGCCGGTACTTGTCTCCACGGACCACGAACGCGCTTCTCTTCCGTGGGAAATGCCTTCAATCAAACCTTCGACGTCGTCATATCAGCCATGATCAATCTGGATTGAAAGCCTCCCCCCCCCCCCATCAACTGTTGCCGCATCTCACGATCCTGCTTGTCGCACCTGCACACGAACTACAAATAACACCTTACCACCCCCCCCGTACCTCTGTGTTACTGCTCGTCTGCCACGTCATGTGCACCAGCTGCAACACCTAGAAAAACAAAACCTCTCTCTCTCTGTCTTGGGCGGTCCCCTTCAACTGCACATCCAACCTTTTCTGTGCAGCAGATTGAGATGCGACCTTTTTCCTAACCGAGGGCCACGCCTTAACACACGCAATCAGAAGCCCACGTGGCCAACGAATCGTCCGCACGTCTCGTGCGCCTCACGTCTCTGCGCACACCCCGGCGTGCCCCAAAGCATCCCCGTGTGCCCTGATATCGCCTTGCGTGACTCGTGCGTCTCATGTTTACCCGTGTATCCCCCGTGTCCCTGGCAAGCGTCTCTGTCTTCCCCACGCCTTCCCGCGTGTCTCTGTCAGAGATCGCGTGCCATCTTTGCGTCCCTGTATGTACCCCGTGTCCTTGGCACACCTCTCATGCCTTCCCTGTCTTCTCCTTGCTTTTCCGCGTGTCCCTGTGAGACATCGTGTGCCTCCGTGCATACCCCCGTGTCCTTGGCACACGTCTCATGCGTTCCCCCCCCACCTCCTCCCCCCGCGCGTTACCCGTGTCTCAGTGGACGGGCAGTGGGGCCCCTGGTCTCTGTGGTCGACGTGCTCCGTGACCTGCGCCGGGGGCTCGCGGACGCGCATGCGCCTCTGCAACAACCCCGAGCCCAAGCACGGCGGGCGGCGCTGCGCGGGACTCAGCTCCGACACCGGCGTCTGCAACACCCAGGACTGTCCCATCGGTGAGACGCGCCGGGCGACTTCGCCCCCCTCTCGCCGCTCGTCTCCCGTCTCGTCGTCTCTGCCCTCGTCGCCACGGTGGCTCGGAGATGTTAACTGCCTCGCCTGGTGTGCCAGAGGTCGTGGGTTCGATCCCGACCCTGGCGCCTGCTGCTGTATATTTGGAGTTTGCGTGTCTCTCTCTCTCTTTCCGTGGTCCCGTGGATTTTTCTCCGGGTACTCCGATTTTTTCCTCTACATTTAAAATGGACGTGCGTTTAGAGTATTTAGTTGAGATACATTTCCACATGAGCCACTTCGTTGAGCTATCATTTGTGGCCAGGTCAATTCTGAGTGGGCCTTACCTGGTAAAATAAAAAAATAGTATCGTTTAGTTTTAGTTGAGTTCCAACGCTGTTCCGCTTACACCCCTCCCGTTTCCGCGCTTGTCATTCTTTGGATGGAGAGCCGCACGGATGATAGATGACCTGCGATCCACCACTCCCTTTCTCTTCACCTTGTCCACTTATGCACTGCTGTGCACTCCGCCGTAGTTTGCTCAACGCCTACTGCTTGGCAAGCGGTGACGCGTCCCGAGCGGCGGCCCGTTTGCCGCTGGGTTTGCGGAGGTTCGCGGTTCGGCACCAGGCGGGTGCCCCGTTTAATGCCAGCGGGTGTGTGGACCAAATGCATTCCCGCCGTCTGCCACAAAGGTGGAATTCGAAGAATCCCGTAAAGTTGATCGAATACCAAAGGAAGCCCTAAAATCCATAACACAGGTTTAGTTTTTTGGGTTAGATTGCATAAATATTGAAATGTGTCGTTAAACCCACCACCACCCGACTCATCATCAGACGACAGACAAATCTGGCTGTCGCCTGATGAAGCTCGTTGTAATTACTGACGAAACGTCGTACTCAGATTGTAAATGTTTGTGGCTTGGCTCTCCAACACACCGGTGTGCTGCACTAGTACCCTATACTATACACTACACTATACACTACTATACACTACACTACACTATACACTACTATACACTCCACTATACACTACTATACACTACACTATACACTACTATACACTACTATACACTACACTATACACTACACTATACACTACACTATACACTACTATACACTACACTATACACTACACTATACACTACACTATACACTACACTATACACTACACTATACACTACACTATACACTACACTATACACTACACTATACACTACACTATACACTACTCTACACTATACTATACACTATACTATACACTATACTATACACTATATATACACTATACTATACACTATACTATACACTACACTATACACTACACTATACACTACACTATACACTACACTATACACTACACTATACACTACACTATACACTACTATACACACTACTATACACTACTATACACTACTATACACTACACTATACACTACTATACACTACACTATACACTACTATACACTACACTATACGACTACTATACACTACTATACACTACTATACCACTACACCATAAACTACACTCTACACTAGTGCTGTACTAGTAGCGATTGGCACGTTCTGTTTACATAACAAACCTCACTGATTGGCTGTGTCGGGTGGTGGCGGGTTTAACGACACATTTATATATTTATACGCGATCTAACCCAAAGGGCAGTCCCGTTATGTTTCCGGCGTCAAAAATGTGGCCAAGTTTGAAAATTACGGGTGCAGTTCGTCCATTGGGTGAAAACCACGTGGCAATGGCTCAGACTTCGCTCGACCGTAAAACATTCCGCTGTGGCGAAGACCGAACCGGTTACAGATTGCCATCATGATTATCTGCGACTCTCCGAGCCGGGCTGACGCGAGACTTTATCTTTTCTCTCCCCGGCGCTCGTCGCACGCAAGACGGCTGTCTCTCCAACCCGTGCTTCGCGGGAACAAAGTGCATCAGCTTCGTCGACGGCTCGTGGAAGTGCGGCGCCTGCCCGCTCGGTTACCGCGGCGATGGCCTGCACTGCGAGGACATCGACGAGGTGAGTTGAATTTTGACTTGAAACTTGCGTGACTGCAGGAATTCATATTCTTGGTTCTTTGGGTAAAGTAACGTCGATAGAAAATAAAAATGAAGTAAAAAAAATAATGAAATAAAATTAAAATACAAAATAATAAATTGAAATAACAAAAGCAAAAAAGCCACGACGTTTCGATTGCAACACCAGCCGTTTTCATCAGGCAGAGATAATTATTCTTTATTATTTTTAAATTTTATTTTTATTTTCTATCTACGTGACTTTACCGAAAGAACCAAGAATATGAGGTGAGTTGCTCATCCCGTGAAAACTACCCCACCCCGCGCCTTGCAATAAGTAATAACAACAACAACAACAATTTGCACTCGTTCTCCCGATATTAGAAAAGCCACCGGAGCTCTGCATTTTAAAATCATCTAGAATGGAAACCCCTTGTCTTTAGAAGTGCTTTCTTGTGATTAATTTGTTGTCCTTTCCCTCCCACCCGCCCCCCGCTCATGCACCTCCGAATAGCTCGGTCGGCTACGTACGGCGCGAAGAAAGTTACTCGGCGAAACCCCCGTCCGCTGTCTCCCGACGGCTTAGCTTCGCGTTCCCACCTGACCACGCCGCCGCCGCTCTCTCTCTCTTCTGCCGACAGTGCACGGAGGTGCCGGATGTCTGCTTCTCGACAACGAGCGTGTCGCGCTGCACCAACCTGAACCCGGGCTTCAAGTGCCTCCCGTGCCCCCCGCGCTACTCGGGCACCCAGCCCCAGGGTCTCGGACTGGAGGACGCAAAGACCAATAAGCAGGTAGCCACGCACCCCCCCTCAATCGACCACCCCCCGGGGCGAGCCGCTCGTGCCCCTCTGTGTGCGTGAGTGTGGGAGTTGGGCGCGTGCCGTGCCGGCCTTCATAGGTGCTGCTAGCGAACAGCACTTGCCCCAACAGCCTGTAAAGGCTTTGCGGGTGATCTTTGTCTTTGTTGGGCATGTGCCATGCCAGCGTCCAATGGTGCTCGTTAATAGCACTTGCCCCAACAGCCTGTTAAGGCTTTCGGGGGATATTTGTCTTCGTGTTGGGGGATCGGTACGAACCCGGTGACACCAGTTCGATTCTCGCTCACGGCCAACACCAGTGACGAATATCTTTTAAGCACTCTTGGGCCTCCCCTAGGTTGACTCAGCCTCAAATGAGTGACTTCTTCGCGAGTAGGTCTTGCATCGCACGAATGTCAGAGCCACTCAAGGGGGGGGGGGGAGGGTCGTCCTTACACAAAAGAAGGTCGCAATAATTGTCTTCGCGAATGAATGAATGAATAAGGGGGTGACCCCACGTGGCATATTTTTTGTGTTTAGTTTGTTGTCCTACCCCCGCATCTCCGATTAGCGCGGTTGGCTATGTACAGTCCGATATAAGTTCAACGTACGTACGTACACACTGGCCAGGGAAACCATCCCCGTGCATCCGGGACCGTCTGCCCTGCATGTGACACCCCCCACCCCTCGCCCTCCCCCGTCCCCGCATCTCAGGTGTGCGTGCCCAAGAACCCGTGCGAGGACGGGAGCCACAACTGCCACGTGGACGCGGACTGCGTGTACCTGGGCGTGCACACGGAGCTCGTGTTCCGCTGCGAGTGCAAGACAGGGTTCGCCGGCAACGGCTTCGTGTGCGGCGAGGACATTGACCTTGACGGGTGGCCCAACAAGGAGCTGCCCTGCGTGGCCAACGCCACCTACCACTGCCTCAAGGTGAGCCCCCACCACCCACACCCACCCACCCAACACACCCAACATACCCCCCCCCCCGCTGGCGGTGAGGGACAAACGGCCTCTGACGCCGACCTCCTTGACCCACGTGCCTGACCCTAGCGGGGAGGTTTAAGATCGAGCCCGGCTCTGGCCCCATCGCCCTGGCGGTGGCATCAGACTTAACCCCCACGCTGAAAACGAACCGTGAACTTAGCGCTGAACCTGAACTGGATCCTAATCTAGGCCATAACACTCAACACAATCCGAATAACAACCCCACCTCTGACTGTAACCATTACCCTGAACCTAACACTAACCCTAAAACCAACCTTAACCCCAACTCTAACATTAGCCTGCACTCAATCTTGATGTTAACCTTATCCCTGACCCTAACTCTAACCGCAACGCGAATGCCCACCCACACAAGAACACCAACCATTACTTTACCACGACCTGAACGTGGGTCGCACTCTCAAAATTGTAATTGTCCGTCGTGTATTTCTCACGCTAGCAAAGCAAAGGCACAATCACAACAACAGCAACCACCACAACAACAACAACCGCAACCACCACAACCACGCACCACGTGTGCCCCCTGCCCCCGTTGTGTCCACAGGATAACTGCCCCGAGCTGCCCAACTCCGGGCAGGAGGACCACGACAAGGATGGCCTTGGCGACGCCTGCGACAACGACGACGACAACGACGGATATCCCGATGACAGGGTAAGTGCCTCCTCCTCTTCCTCCTCTCTGCGCGCCAGCGACGCGCGATGTATGTACATACGTACGTGTGTGTACGTGCGGCCGGATCGAGGGGGCTAAACGGGCGCGGCATGGGCTAGAGAAGAGATGGAGTAATGTGGTACAGAAGGATGTGGAGCTGAGTGGACTTGCCGATGACTGGTACCAGCGGTGTCAAGATCGACCTCTGTGGAGGAGGCTCGTGAAGGACACTACTGGGCAGTTGGAGGCAGTCGCCCTCCAACAACAACGGAGGGTGGAGGAGTGATGCTCACAACAATGAGCGGAGCGCCGGGCGGCTAAAGCACAGCAAGTTGGCACAGTAGGGGGGCACAGATGGTGCATCAGCCAGTCGTCTCAGTCATTCGACCCGTGACATCTGGGTCTGTCCCGTGACCTTCTGCCAGCGGGCGTTTGACACTTCACGTGGCCTCAAGGTGCACATGGCCTGGAACAAACGCCGTGGTGACGTCACCGCCACTTAGTGGCGAATGGCGGTTGTTGTTGTTGAACGTCTCTCGCGCCGTACATAGCCAAGCGTGCTAATCGGAGGTGCGAGGTAAGGACAACGCACGAAGCACAGAAAGCAGTTCTAAAGAAATTCGATTTCAATCTAGTATAGTGGTGTAGTGTATAGTAGTGCAATAGTATAATGTGTAGCGTAGTGTAGTGTGTATTGTAGTAATCGGAGGTGCAGGGGAAGGACAGCAAACTAAACACAGAAAGCAGTTATCAAAAAATGAGTTTCCAACCTTGATGATTTAGAAGCGCAGACCTCTGGTGGTTTCCTAATATCAGAAGGAAGGAGCGTTCCAGACGGCCGCAGAAGCGCATCTGAAAGCGCCGCGCGATGCGGTGACCATCTTTGTTCGTCAGCGAGCCAAAAGCCGCTGCTTTGCGAGGGATGACCTCAGTTCGCCCGATGATGGAGGTTCATGCTCCTTGACGAGACCAGCGAGGTATTGCGGTTCATTTGCGGCAAGCACTTTGTGTGTAATGAGTGCGACCTTGATGATGTCAAAGCAGCCGTTGCCCCAATGGACAAACTCGGCGCTGTGAGCCAGGAAATCAGCCACCCTTGGCGTCGTGGGCGTCAATGCGACGTTGTTTATATTTTGTTGTGAGCGGCTAAAAGACACCCGCTACACCTGAGTAAGTGAATGGGTGCATTCGCTTATTGAGGTGTCAATGGATTTGTCCATTCATTTGCGCACGCATTCATCGATTAATTAATTATGCACTAAAACCATCCATTCATTCAAGCATTCGTTCATTGATCCATGTATCCAGGTACGCATTTCAACCGACTATTTGTCTACTTTGTTTGCACATTCATATATGCCGAGTAAACTCCCTCGAATTTGTTTTTATTTCGTTATAAATTCCTAACATCCTTTCCGGCATGACGTTTCCCGTGTGGTGTGCACGGGGGTGGGGGGGGGTGTTGGGTTTTACCAACCAGGCTTAGCCCACATCTTTTTCTTTCACCTGAGCGACTATGACCGTGGATTTCTTTCGCCGTTTGGCCTGCACGTGGAGGTTTCCAAACGGATGTTTAACCTCACGAAGGGTCCAGCTGTTAAGTGTACCAGGTGGTGCAAACGCACCTCCTGGATGGAGAGACTTTCCAGGCTACGAAGGAGGGGGGGAGATTGGATGGGAGGGGGGAGGGGCATGCCGACCGAGCTACGTCGCTGCAATTTTTTTAACGAGACATCTGCTTACATTTATCCACGCAAATGCCCCGCAGTGTGGACAAGAGCGTTGCGTTGTGTTGTAGGCAGAGACCCAAGCAAGTGTCAAGGGAGGGTGGTAACAGTGTGTGCTGATCTACCGGCGCTGATGACTCCTCCTAACGAGTGTGAAATCGGCATACACGGTTCCCATTGCTTTTCAACAACCGTGGTGAGGGTTTGAGATGCATACGCTTTAAGTGAATATGAGCAGAACTCTATTCGGCGTCACTTCACGTAGACAAAAGACAGTGCATTGGCCCGTCAGCCAGACCCATATTATCCAGGTTCATTTGTTCCAGCAAGCAAAACCTTGGATTAGTTTCAACCTTCTGGGTCTCATCAGCAGAGTCAAGCAAATGCTGATGGGTTGCCAGATGTGATTGTAAACCATGCGGCCGCCGTTCAATGCAAAACAGAATTACCGCGCGTATATTTACAAGCGACGTGTACACGGTTAGGTAGCCGTGGGCCTTGAAAAGCATCAACATTGGCCGCTCATAGGATACATTTCGCATCGTGTTGCTATACGACGGCCAAACATCTAGGAGTGAGGTTGAGCGCGACGAGAACATGTGATTACAATTACGTCGACTTTCTCTCTCGCTCTCTCACTCTCTCCCACGTTGTGTTATTGCACTTAGACTCCCAGAGTGAGCCGTAATTACCTCTGCTCTGAACTCGCTCGACGTACAATGCGCGTGCGAAGCTTTCCCGAAGCGCCGTCCTGTGTCGCGGTGCCGGTGTGGTGTTCGCGCGGCGCGTGACCGTGCGAATCAGGTCAAACCCCGCGGCGCCCTTTTCCTTCCGCCCGTGTCGTCAAAGGCGGAGAGACAGAGAGAGAGATAATTGACGTGTTTTGGAAATTTCTCAAATGCGTTTTTTATGACACCGAAAAACCTTTTTTTCTTTTACACATCCCGCCTTGAATAACCGTCAAGGCGACGTTTCGTCACACGTGAGCGCTTACGGTTTGACGGGCGGTTTTTCGCAATGATGCCATTGCTGCCGAGGTTTTAAACTAAGGTCGCGTCGCCCGTTTGATTCATTGACTCGCCCGCAGTTCTGCTGGGGAGGAGGGCGAGGGCCGTCGCTGATTCTGTGTGGTCGGTAAAACTGGAACACATTTTGTATTAAATGCCCTTAAACAATCGTTTTCGAGGCGTCAACAATTGGCTTCCTAATGGACAACCCATCTTTATAATCCGTGCTGAGAGACCACAGGTCACCCTCTGGCCGAGCGTTCCAGACCGACGGAGACAAGCGGCGAACTTTGATCTCGAACGAGGCCAAACCCCCCCACCCACCCCTCCCCCGCTCCCTTCGGTGCACGCCACAGGACAACTGCCCGATGCTGTTCAACCCGCGGCAGTACGACAGAGACCGCGACACGGTCGGTGACCTCTGCGACAACTGCCCCGAACACCCCAACGCCGACCAACGCGACACGGACCGCAACGGCGTGGGAGACGCGTGCTCACCCGACATCGACGGAGACAGTGAGTTGCCCCCGGACGCTCGGAGTGCACTTCCAATTGGCGCGGGTGGATACGTGCGAAAGAAGTTTAACATACATAAACTAAACTAACTAAAGTCACGTAGAGAGAAAAAAATATATACATTTTTTTAAATCTACGTCACTTTACCGTAAGACCCAAAGAGTATGAATTCCTGCAGTCACGAAAGCTTTAAGTCAAGATTTAAACTAACTAAACTTTTTCAGAAGCGACTTGGCTATCACAAATAATAGCTCAACGAAGTGGCTTGTCACGTGGCATTTTCTAGCGGCAAAATACTCTAAGTGCACTTGAAGGGCACCACTACCAGTGGCAGCTGTCCCTGCGTGGCACAATTTGACTCTTCACCCCCCCCCCCCTCTCCCTGCTACAAAGTGGGGAGTAATCGGCCAGTATATGGATAATGATTGCCAAATGAGTAACTTACGTTGTAAAGTAGCGAATTTGGCAAATTTGGTCAATTCAGCCCCACCATTCGTGCAGGGTTCATAAAACGAGTGACCGCGTGGTCAGAAACCACCGCGTTGGTTTCCAGCGGAGACTGTGGCCACTTCCGTAGACAAGGGGATTCTCCTCTCCCTGCAGAGAACGGCCACTCGGGTTTGCCGCTTTCGGCTTTGTTTAAAAAAGAAAAAACGGGTCGCTGGGCACAGGGGGTCCATACAACGACTGGCGGCCAGCAACAAGCGGCGCCGTCGGAGGAGTGACGGCACAGCTGCATAACGGGGGACTTCCTTCGCAGGCGTTCTCAACGAGGGCGACAACTGCCCGTACGTGTACAACAGCGACCAGCGCGACTTCGACACGGATGGCGTGGGAGACATGTGCGACAACTGCCCCCTGCAGTACAACCCCGACCAGGTGAGCGGCCCGGGCGACGCCGGAGATGGAGTATCGCGCGTGCGCGGGCTCGGCAGCAAAATGTGGATTTTTGACGAAGGTCGGCTCCTCTGGGCGAGCTTCCATCGTACTCGCCGTTGGTTTATCGAAAGATGTGTCGACTTTGTTCTGCTCCGTAGCTCACCGGCCAGGCGGTTCATCAGTCGAGCGGGAGGTCACGGGTTCAAATCCTGGTCTAATGGTTGACTCAGCCCATCATCCCTGTGTTTTTTCCCTCGTAACCCCTGCACCCGTTTCACTTATCACTTAACGCGTTTGCAATTGCTCCGTTAGTTTTATTATGCGATTGTTGATTTCTGTGTAATTCCCCTCCACCCCGATACCCACCCACCCACCCCACCACCCACCCACTCACCCCACCCACCCCCACCACCCACCCACCCACTCACCCCTCTCACCCACCCCACCACCCCAACCAACCCACCCACCCACCCCACCACCCACCGACCCCACCACCCACCCACCTACTCACCCACCCACCCACCCCACCCACCCACCCACCCCACCCACCCCAACCAACCCACCCACCCACCCACCCCACCCACCCCACCCACCCCACACACCCCACCCACCCACCTACTCACCCCCCCTCCCACCCACCACCCACCCCCTCCCACCCACCCCACCCACCCCACCCACCCCAACCAACCCACACCCCCGGCCGGCCGTCAGCGCGACTCCGACTCGGATCTGGTGGGCGACACGTGCGACAGCAACGAGGACATCGACGAGGACGGCCACCAGAACAACCTGGACAACTGCCCGTACATCCCCAACTCGAACCAGGCCGACCACGACGGCGACGGCATCGGAGACGCCTGCGACCACGACGACGACAACGACGGCATTCCCGACGAGCGCGACAACTGCCGCCTCGTCGCAAACCCCGACCAGCTCGACTCCAACGGTCAGCGGCGATGCGGCCCCCCCCTCGCCCCCCTTCGACCCCCTCGCCCTCCTCGCACCCCTCAGCTGTGTGCGTTCATCTGTTACCCCCCCCCCCCATCCCCCCCGTGCAAGGCGTGGGTTTTTCTCTGGGTGCTCCGATTCTGATTCTGATGTCCCTGTGCTCAATCCCGTGGTGGGTCCTTCTCCGTCCTCGCACCCATTCACTGGAATAAACCTCCCCTGTACATTGAGCAGCACTGCCCCATGAACTCAACACTGCGCGTAGATATTCTTTGGGTCTTTCGGTAAAGTCACGTAGATAGGCTCAAAGAAAATGACAAGAACCTACGACGTTTCGATCGCAACGCAAGCGGTCGAAAAGTCGTAGTTTTTGGTTATTTTCTTTGAACCTATCTACGTCACTTTACCGAAAGACCCAAAGAATATGAATTCTTGCAATCACAAAATCTTTAAGTCAAGATTTACTGCCCGTGGACTCAGCACTCCCCATAGACTCAACACTGCCCATGGAATCAACACTGGCCGTACACTCAACACTGCTACCCATAGGCTCAGCACTGCACCATAGACTCAACACTGCTTTAGATCTCACTCCGGTTGGCTGACCTCTTGGTGCCTCTTCAGTGCGTGTTCACACACAAACAAAGAAAGAGATCCCCCCACACATAGCCTTAACAGACTGTTGGGGCAAGTGCTGTTAGTGAGTAGCACCTATGAAGGCCGGCACGGCACACAAAGGGGTCAGTGGCCAGTCTCCGTAGTGGCGATGTTTAACACACCACACCTGGTACTCATTTGAGGCTGAGTCGACCTAGGGGAGGCGCAGGACCGCTTCAGACAATTGTCACCGGTGGTGGCCGTGAGCGGAAATCGAACTGGGGTGCCCGGGTCCGTAGCGTAGTGCTCTAATCACTGCGCCACCACTCTCCATATAGACGTGTAAACAAATACTCTGCGCTCATTCAATACGCACGTACATGCACATATATAAATACGTACTCGGGTGCCAACACACACGCATGCACGTGCACACCCAGTGACTGACTCTAGAGATTCGTTATTTATTTTTCTCAGAGCCCATGAGTGATGTTCATTGCATAAGGATGAGTTTTTGTGGTTTTAAATTTGGGTCATTTTCAAGTGAGGGATGTGGCAAATGATCCACTCGCACATCCTAAACTAAAACACATGCGTGTCATCCTCATCATCATCAATGATTATTTAAGACCGAGAGCCTCTTTTTTGAAGGAAGCCCTGGGTTAACAACCGAATACGACAAAAGACCGGGATTGAGTTCACGTCGGAGGGTACGCACGGCGCCCTTAGAGAGACGCGGAGAGTGTGCGATCGTTTTAGATTCTCGCCGCGTTCTAAGCGACACGGCAAGGCATTCTTGTGTTCACGCCAATCTCGGGTTATCGTCGGTAAGCAGCTCCAAAATAAAGTGTCTGAGCACAGGTGTCCGAGACGGATTGCTGGGAATGTTATGGCAGAGGCGGCGGAATGCGCAATGCAAGAAGTCCGGAAGGGAACATGGCAGGAAAATGTTGCAAACTCAGGCGAGACATCTTACACACGTGTGGCGAGACGACACACGTGTGGCGAGGCAGCAGAGGCTGCCAGCGAGCAAGACAGCCGTCGGAGTGGTCGCCACGATTCCGACAACCGAGGAGGGGACGGGATGACCTAACAGCAGATGGTCGGATGCCGTCAAGGCAGTTCTTGCGAGGGCGCGTCTCTGTACGCGTGTCTGTACGTACGCGTGATGAACTTGGGAGGGGCAGTGCAGCGGTTAGCGCGCTGCGCTACGAACCCGGCGACCCGAGTTCGATTCTCGCTCACGGCCAACACCAGTGACGATTATTTGAACAGGTCTTGGGCCTCCCCTAGGTCGACTCAGCCTCAAATAAGAACCTGGCGCGGTGTGTAAACATCCCCGCCGGGGAGAAAAAGGCGACCGGGCGTAGTGTTGGCCACCCACCCCTTCGTGTGCATTGTTTGCCTTCATAGGTGCTCGCTAACAGCACTTGCCCCAACAGTCTGTTAAGGCTATATGGGGGGTCTTTGTCTTGGTGTTGAACTGCTTTCACGCCGTACGGAAGTAACCGTGCGGCAACAGCTTTGGGATTTGGCGGACGGGCAGAAAGCGTCTTTTTGCGACGTGGTGCGGTCACGCTTTGACCTTTTGACCTTGAGCGCAGAGCAGTGTTGCTCCCCCGGCTTGCGCCCGACTCAAGAGCCGCATGGCTCACAGGGCTATACCTAATGAATGAAGCTTGAAACTTGACGCGTTGCCGTGTCCCCGTCCCCCAGGTGACGGCCGTGGGGACATCTGCCAGTACGACTTTGACCACGACAACGTGACGGACACCGAGGACGTGTGCCCAGAGAACTTCGCCATCACCAGCACGGACTTCCAGCGCTTCCAGATGGTGCCGCTCGACCCCACGGGCACCTCGCAGATCGACCCCAACTGGGTGGTGCGCCACCAGGGCAAGGAGCTCGTGCAGGAGGTCAACTGCGACCCGGGGCTCGCCATTGGTACGTGCGATGCGTGCCCATGTGCGTGTACGCGTGCGTACGTTTGTGTCTGTGTGTGTGTATGGTCAGTGTGTGGGGAGCGGTAGTGTAGCGGTTAGCGCGCTGTGCTATGAACCCAGCGACACGGGTTCGATTCCCGCTCACGACCAACACCAGTGACGATTATCTGAACCGGTTCCGGCCCTCCCCTAGGTCGACTCAGCCTCAAATGAGTACCTGGTGCGGTGTGTAAACATCGCTACTAGGGCGTGGTGCTGGCCACCCACCCCCTCGTGTGCCGTTCCGGCCTTCATAGGTGCTCGCTAACAGCACTTGCCCCTACAGTCTGTTAAGGCTATACGGGGGATCTTTGATGGTATGCGTGTGTGTGTATGGTCTGTGTGGGCGTGTACGCGTGTGTATGTTTGTGTGTGTGTGTATATATATGGTGTGTGTGTGTATGGTCTGTGTGTGTGTGTGCGTGTATGCGTGTGTATGTTTGTGTTTGTGTGTGTGTGTATGTCTGCGTGTATGTGTGTGCATATGCGCGTGTGTAGTGTCGTGCAGAGTCGTAGAGTAGCGATTAGCGCACAGTGCTACGAACTCCATGACCTAAGTTCCATTCTCGCTCACCACCAATAACAGTGACGAATATCTTAACCAGTCCTGGGCCTCCCTTAGGTTGACTCAACCTCGTATGAGTACCTGGTGCGGTGTGTAAACATCAGCACTGGGGAGACAAAGGCGGCCGGGCGTGGTGCTAGCCGCACACACCCTCGTGTGGCATGCCGGCCTTGATAGGTGCTCGCTAACAGCACTTGCCCCAACAGTCTGTTAAGGCTATACGTTGTGTGCGAGAAGCATTCGTGATGTTGACGAGTTCCAAACCAAAGCATTGGTGGCACTAGGCATACGCAAACCTAGCAAAAGCATAGGATTCCAATTAGCTCAGGGGGCCCTAGATTCATGAAGTAAATAGGGGTTTTTCAAATATCTTCTCAAATTCAAGTGCTAATAAATAGACAATCGAGTGAACATGAAGCGGCCAATTAATCTCTCTCATATCTATCTTGCCTTTGTCTCTATTCACTCATCTCACTATATTTGGGAAATGACCGGCCACTTACTCAATTGGGATGTTACACCGCACATTCAGAGTCGCGTCCCAGGGGACTGTTTCAAATGAGACTCGAGCCTGTTCTCTTGGGGGTTATCCTCGCCTTGTTAAACTAATTAACGTGAAACGTATCTTTCGTCTATAACTCTTCTGTCATCTCTACGACGATTTGATCACTTTTTATGAATCGATTTTATGAATTGATTTCCACCTTTAGTGTACACACCCCCTCCCCCCCACCTCTGCCAAAAAAAAAATCCAGCCCCACAACCGACTCAAAGCGTCTCCCCTGCTCAATGAACCAGTGGTGGAAATTCCACGCTCCTTCGACAAGGCCCAGTCTCTCCCAGTGAGACGGCCACGGCGTTGCGCCCGTGGGTTTTTGGACACTCCGCATGGTCCGACGGACCGAGCTGACCCCCTGTTTGTTCGGGTGAATACGCGAGATCGCTCGCTGGCAGCTGACGGAGCCACCCGTGCGCCTCTTATTGCCAGTTCTTTGTTTTTTCAAAGCCAGGATATGAGAAAAGAACTACAAAAACATTTAAATAATGTTAAAAACAACGCGTTGAAGAACACAAGCGCGATTATTTTCCCCTCGTCGGCATGGCGTTGTTGCTGCTGCCAAAAGCAGGATCTGGGGTTTGTTCTCTCGTTCTTGCCACTCCCTCATTGTCAGCGTGCCCACAGGACGCACTCTGCCATCCCTACGACCACCGCCGTCACCACCAGCACCGCCATCGCCATCAACGCGAACACCGCCATCACCACCAACACCACTGGCACCATCAACACCACTGCTCTCACCACAGCTACCATCTCCAACACCACCAACACCAATGCCACCATCACCACCGCCACCACCTCCACCACCATCATCACCACTGCCACCACCTCCACCACCATCACCACCAACACCACTGGCACCATCAACACCACCGCTCTCACCACAGCTACCATCACCAACACCACCAACACCAATGCCACCATCACCACCGCCACCACCTCCACCACCATCATCACCACTGCCACCACCTCCACCACCATCACCACCAACACCACTAGCACCATCAACACCACCGCTCTCACCACAGCTACCATCACCAACACCACCAACACCAATGCCACCATCACCACCGCCACCACCTCCACCACCATCATCACCACTGCCACCACCTCCACCACCATCACCACCAACACCACTGGCACCATCAACACCACCGCTCTCACCACAGCTACCATCACCAACACCACCAACGCCAATGCCACCATCACCACTGCCACCACCTCCACCACCTTCATCACCACCACCACCACTGTCCCCACCAACACAAACATCATCACCACCACCAAAATGGCCACCACTGCCACCAACACCACCGCCATCACCTCCATCCCTGTCATCACCACCGCCGTCATTATCACCAACAACACCACTACCACCAATACCAGCAACACCTACCCCGCCACCACCAACACCAGCAACACCACATTCAGCAACTGAGCCCACGAAAGGCATTGGCATCACACGCATATATCACTTTATTTGTTCTGTAACACATTGCCAGACCACAGGGCCCAAAGGCCCCAAAACGTCAATGGGGCCAGCAACAAACAGCACTGCCAACGTTGTAACCATGAGAGTGAATGTGTCACCTTGAATTGGGCAAGATTATCACGAGAGCTTGGGGAAGGAGACTACGCAGGCGATTCCAAGTGGAGCTGCGTGATGGAGGAAGCATAAATTGAAGTGTTGGAGACCTGCAGGGTGATGGTTGGGTGGGTGGGAGGGTGGGTGAGTGAGTGGGTGGATGAGTGGGTGGGTGGATGAAGTGAGTGTGTGACTGAGTGGGTGAGTGAGGGATATGTGGGTGCATAGGTGAGTCATTGAGTGGCTGGGCTGGTGAGTGAGTTGAGTGAGTAGGTGAGTGTGTGGGTTGTTGAGTGAGTGGGTCGCTGGGTAGGTGAGTGGTAGGTGGGTGAATAGGTGAGTCATTGAGTGGCTGGGCTGGTGAGTGAGCTGAGTGATTGAGTGGGATGAGTGAGTTGGTGAGTGGGTGGGTTGGTGAGTGAGTGGGTCGCTGGGCAGGTGAGTGAGTGAGGGGTAGGAGGGTGGATATGTGAGTTATGGAGTGGGTGGGTGGTTTGGTGAGTGAGCTGAGTGGGTGGGTGAGTTGGTGGGTGAGTCGGTGAGTAGCTGAGTGAGTGAGTTGATGGGTGGCTGAATGAGCGAGTGCGTTGGTGAGTCAGTGAGCGGGGTAAATGAGTAGGTGAGTGTGTGGGTTGGTGAGTGAGTGGGTCGCTGGGTAGGCGAGTGGGTGAGGGACCCGTGGGTGGTCTGGTGAGTGAGCTGAGTGGGTGGGTGAGTTGGTGGGTGAGTCGGTGGGTGTCTTGAGTGAGTGGTTGGGTGGCTGAATGAGCGAGTGAGTTGGTGAGTCAGTGAGTGGGGTGAGCGAGTGTGTTGTTGTGACTGCGATGTGGTGGTGGATGAACACCGTGCGGACGAGACGAAACAGTCAGTCCAGTCGACCGAGTCCTCAACAAATGGGCGAAGGAGATCGGTCATGAACGTCGTGCGGAGCCGTGTGGGGTTGATCAGCGCCGTTTCTTCTTTCTGCGTAGCTGTAAAATGTTCACCATGACAGTGCCGCTCCACTCAAAACAAAAACAAAGGGAGCTGTTTGCTAGCAGCGGAGAATATAAAAGAGAAAAAGAGCGGGTCACAAATAGTTTGCTTCTAAGAGAGGCCACTTCAAGCCGCAAATGTAGTGCATGTGTTCGCGCGCGTGTGCGTGCATGTGTGTGTGCGTGCGTCTATGTGTGTGTGTGCGCGTGCACGTGTGTATGTGTGTGCGCGCTCGCCTATGCGTGCGTGTGTGCGCGCGCATGTATGTGTGTGTGCATGCGAGTGTATGTGTGTGCGCGCGCGTCTATGTGTGTGTGTGCGTTCGTGTGCACGTGTGTAAGTGTGTGTGCGTTCGTGTGCACGTGTGTAAGTGTGTGTGTGTGCGTTCGTGTGCACGTGTGTAAGTGTGTGTGCGTTCGTGTGCACGTGTGTAAGTGTGTGTGTGTGCGTTCGTGTGCACGTGTGTAAGTGTGTGTGTGTACGTTCGTGTGCACGTGTGTAAGTGTGTGTGTGTGCGTTCGTGTGTATGTGTGTGCACGTGTGTATGTGTGTGTGCGTTCGTGTGCACGTGTGTAAGTGTGTGTGTGCGTTCGTGTGCACGTGTGTATGTGTGTGTGCACGTGTGCACGTGTGTAAGTGTGTGTGTGTGCGTTCGTGTGCACGCGTCTATGTGTGTGTGTGCGTTCGTGTGCACGTGTGTAAGTGTGTGTGCGTTCGTGTGCACGTGTGTATGTGTGTGTGTGTGCACGTGTGTATGTGTGTATGTGTGTGTGCGCGCGCGCGGGCAGTTAGAGTTGCGTTGTAATCGGTCGGTGCATAGCTCGAGTTTCTCTTCAGTGAGAAGAGGCTGTGGCTGAGGTCAGCAGCGATGTTTATAATCAAGGGGAAGCGTCCACTTGATCAAATACGCGCTGAGCAATGCTCACAGTGCGCCTGAGCCAATGGTGGGAATTTCACATTCCTACGGCGGGGGTCAGGCGACGTGATTTGGTAGAATGGCCGCGATCAACTTTCTATTAAATGACGTTTTTTTTTTCGTGACAATGGTTGCTGAGCACATGCGCTGAGGCCCAACACGCTGAGCGGCCAGCAACAAACAGCACTATTGAATATCCTGAAGGAGGGGGGGACGATGATGAACTTAGTTGAAGAGGAAATAATCTCAACTGCGATTAAGAGTTTAGTGCTCTGACCACAGCCAGAACACGGTCTGTAAAAAAATAATGAATAATGATCGAAAAGTCGACTGGCCAAAGGGTGGTAAAAACAAAGACAAAGATCCCCCGTATAGTCTTAACAGATTATTGGGGCAAGTGCTGTTAGCGAGTCGCACCAATGAAGGCCGCCACGACCACGAGGCGGTGGGTGGCCAACACCACCCCCGGCCGCCTTTGTCTCCCCAGTGGCGACGTTTACACACCGCCCCAGGTACTCATTTGAGGCTGAGTCGACCTAGGGGAGGCCCAGAACCGGTTCAAATAACCGTCACCGGTGTTGGCCGTGAGCTGGAATCGAACTGGGGTCCACCGGGTTCGTAGCGCAGCGCGCTGACCGCTGCACTACGGCTCCCCCCCCCCTCCCTCTCTCGCCCGCCCGCCCGCCCCGCTCAGGCTACGACGAGTTCAACGCGGTGGACTTCAGCGGAACGTTCTACATCAACACGGACCGCGACGACGACTACGCGGGCTTCGTGTTCGGCTACCAGTCGAGCGCGCGCTTCTACGTGGTCATGTGGAAGCAGATCACGCAGTCCTACTGGCAAGACACGCCCACGTGGGCCCAGGGCTTCGCCGGCCTGCAGATCAAGGTGGTGAACTCCACGACGGGGCCCGGCGAGCACCTCCGCAACGCCCTCTGGCACACCGGCAACACCCCCGGGCAGGTGCGTTCCCAATGGGCAGTGTCACACGTGGTGTGATGACGGTGCGGTCACAATGGGCAGTGTGACACGTGGTGTGATGATGGTGCGGTCACATGGGCAGTGTGACACGTGGTGTCATGATGGTGCGGTCACATGGGCAGTGTGACACGTGGTGTGATGACGGTGCGGTCACATGGGCAGTGTGACACGTGGTGTGATGATGGTGCGGTCACAATGGATAGTGTCACACGTGGTGTGATGATGGTGCGGTCACATTGGACAGTGTGACACGTGGTGTGATGACGGTGCGGTCACAATGGACAGTGTGACACGTGGTGTGATGACGGTGCGTTCACAATGGGCAGTGTCACACGTGGTGTGATGACGGTGCGGTCACATGGGCAGTGTGACACGTGGTGTGATGATGGTGCGGTCACATGGGCAGTGTGACACGTGGTGTGATGACGGTGCGGTCACATGGGCAGTGTGACACGTGGTGTGATGACGGTGCGGTCACAATGGGCAGTGTCACACGTGGTGTGATGACGGTGCTGTCATAATGGGTGTTGTCATACGCAGCCCAATAAGTTTAACAGTATGTATAAAATAAAATTATTTATACCTACGTGACTTTACCGAAAGAACCAAAGAGTATGGATTCCTGCAGTCACGAAAGCTTCAAATCAAGATTTTAACAGTATGGTCGGAATGGGCAGTGTCACACGAGCTATCATAGGTGGCCAGATCGTTTCTGAAAAAGAATGCAGAGTTTAATATGATATCTAAAAAATTGCAATATACGACATGTCCTAAAATCAATATGAAATGCGATACAATGTAAATTGCAATGTATCACAAAATGTGATACAAATATGCAATCCATTATAAAATAGGTATACAATCCACAATGTGATACAGTATATGATTTGAATGCAATATAGAATGCAACGCAAGAGATAGGAGAGTGATTGGAGGGGAGTAGAGGGAGTTGAGAGGTAGGAGAGTGCGTGGAGAGGAGTAGAGTGAGTTTGCAGGGGAGAGGTAGGAGAGTGCGTGGGGGGGAGTAGAATGAGTTGAGAGGGGAGAGGCAATAGAGTGAGTGGAGGGGAGTGGAGCGAGTTGAGAGGGGAGAGGCAGGAGAGTGAGTGGAGGGGAGTGGAGTGAGATGGTTGGGGTAAGGTGAGGATGACGATTTTAGAATCCGTTGTTTATTGGATTGGGATCCGGTGCAGGATATGAGGATAATGGACTGATGCGGCCATCTGGGTGTGGCGTGAAAGGTTTTGCACTGCATCATGTGGAGTTTCGTGGGGAGGGGAGTTGGGGGTGGCTGTGGTTTGGGACGAGCTCTTTCATTTTCGAGAAATTGAGGGGCGATTGATGATGGCGCTGATGTTGTTGACCCATGAAGAGGCGATTTTCCAGGATCATCGGGGGACACGGCAGGGGCTTTGAGGGCACGGGCTCCAAATGGCCTCTTTGGCAGAGCGCGGCTGCTGGGCATTTAAAGATTTAGTGAGACAAATCCTTCAGGGATGTCAGGGCCAAGCCGCGCTAAATTATTCCCAACTATGATCCGTAACTCTGTTGTGAGAAGGAGCTAGAGAGATATACCGCATGTGTCTGGGGCGCCACGGTGGTGAGATGTTAACTACCTCGCCTGGTATGCAGGAGGGCGGGAGTTTGATCGTCACCCTGACACCTGTACAATTAGAGTTTGCATGTTCTCCCCGTGGTCGCGTGGATTTTTTTCTCACGGTCCTCCGGGTTTTCCCTCCACATATCAGAATGAACATCACGCGTTTAAAATATTTGGCCGCAATGAATTTCCACGTGATGATGATGAGCCAAATTTCGATTTAAAGCTTTCGTGACTGCAGGGATTCATCTTCTTGGTTCTTTCGGTAAAGTCACGTAGAAGGGAAGTAATAAAATAATAAAAATTAAACATAACAAAATCATTCTCAATATTTATTTTATTATGTTTTATTTTTAATGAAAAAATTAAACATAATACAATAATTCTCAATAATTATTTTATTATGTTTTATTTTTATTATTTTATTACTTCCCTTCTACGTGACTTATCCGAAAGAACCAAGAAGATGATGAGCCACTTCGTCGAGCCAGCATTTGCTATAGCCAGGTCGCATCTGAAAACCTGCTACTCAGCTCACGTGAGCCTTACCTGGGCGGGCGGGGGGGGGGGGGGAATCTTTGTCTTTCTATTCTGCAAACTTGGATGTAAGTTGACGTGGCTGTTTGTGATGCGGATGTTGCTACAGGTTCGTCTGCTGTGGCACGACCCAAAAACCATCGGCTGGAAGGATTACACGGCGTACAGGTGGCAGCTGACTCACCGGCCCAAATCCGGACTCATCAGGTGAGCACGGCGAGCCGGGCAGGGAATTTCCCGTTCGTGAGCCGCGGTGACGCTGCTTTTGTGCCTGCTCTTACGTGGACGATGCAACGACGCAGCTTTGTCGGATGTCGCACGCACACACACACACGCATTTGCTGTGCGGGGAAGCGGTCGTGGCGTTGCGGATTTGCAATCGGGAGGTCGCCGGTTTTAAACAGCGGTGCGAGATTTTTTTAAATCTCCATCCCCTTCACCCCCCCCCCCCCCCTCGCCAGCCCGCCCCCTGCCTCTGTTCGCCCAGCAGCCTAAATGGTGGGGTAAAGTGTGGGTAGCACTGCCACTCCGGCCGGCGTGGAAGAGTAGACCAAAATACCCTCCGAGAGGGGCAAACCTACCGGACCACTTTCTGAGCGGAGGCTTCTTCGCGCCCGGAATTGGCGCAGGTGCAAGGAGATTTGCAATTTCTGCTCCTTCACCCGCTCCTCTCCACGGGGGCGCGACGTCTTGACGTCTTTCTGCCTCAGCTGCTACTTCACCCGAAAGCGGAGTTTGGGCGGCTGCACGGGGGGGGGGGAGGGTGGGGGGGGACAACGCAGATCTCGAGATCGTTCGGCGTGACCCTTACCGGCGCTCGCCCCGACCTCGTGCGTGTTGACTACGGCCGTGGCGCTAAGAGAGCGAGAGCGCTCACGTGCCTGCCGCGTCGGCCGGTGGCTGTCTGGCTGTCTCTCCTCGCAGGGTGGTGATGTACGAGGGCAGGCACATCATGGCCGACTCGGGCCCCCTGTACGACAAGACGTACACCGGGGGACGTCTCGGTCTGTTCGTCTTCTCCCAGGAGAGCGTCTACTTCTCGGACATGAAGTACAAGTGCAAAGGTGAGCTTCCGGTTTGGAGAGTTCGAAATACCGCTGGGCGTGCCCGGCTATTGCTGCTTTCGCGCTGGCCATCGGACAAAGGCGGCCAACACCGCTAATCGAACACGTTGAGATGCGATTCTGCGGCCGTCTGGACCGCTCTTCCTTCTGATATTAGGAAGCCCGTTGGAGCCGTTCACTTTGAAACTCATTTCTTTAGAGCTGCTTTTTGTGTTTAGTTCGTTGTCCTTCCCCCCGCACCTTATGATTAGCACGGCTTGTCTACGTACGGCGCGAAAGAAGTTCAACGCACACACGTGACGCTTCGCATTGGGCGTCAAAGATTCCACGACCTCGTTCGAAACGAGCGGGCCGTCGTGTGCGTGCCACGTGGTCCGAATTTGCCAAATAAAATAATTACACAGAAATTATCCCCCCGTCTCTCCCGCCCCCCTACTTCTGACAGACTAATGTATGTGTGTTGAACTTCTTTCACACCGTACGCAACCAACCGTGCTAATTGGAGGTGTGGGGATGGACAACAAACTAAAGACAAAAACTATTTCTATTGGATTGAGTTTTAAATCTAGGTTTGAAATTGGATAGCTCCAGTGGCTTCCTAATATCGGAAGGAAGGTGATGATAGTGATGATGGTGGTGGCGATGAAGACCACGATATCATTGGTGGTATTGAAAGCATTACTGATGATGATAGTGATGTTACATTTGCTTCTGCTGTTATAGCTGCTGCTGATGCTGTTGTTGTTGATGATGAAGAAGATGCAGCTGCTGCTGATGATGATGAAAAATAATATACTGATGATGATGCTGCTGATCAATATGATGCTGCTGCTGATGATGATAATGAAGATACTGATGATGCTAATGATGCAGTAACATTTCTACCGACGCTCACGTGTTTATTTTGTTCTCGTAATTGTTTTGCAGATTGGTAGAGACAGTTTAGAGAAATTTGGTGGGGGAACATCAACATTCCGTCTCCGGTAATGACAAACAAACGTGTTTACTCAAATCCTTTCTCACGTTAACACAATTGTCCTTCTAACATATATCTCGATGTGTACGACAGTTAAAACAAATACGATGCACAGTGTCCAATGGTAATCAAACGTTTATGAAATGTCGCATAAAAACAACAAAAGATCTATGAGATTCGTTTTATTTGTATTTTTTTTATTTTATTTTTGGTCTCTGTTTTTTTATAAAGCTGTAATAAGAGGTGTGTATTATTATTCCTATATATTTTTTAATACTTTATATTATATAAATATTAATCACCCGTTGTAAATAGCAAAGCACATTTTTTTTCTTCTTAAAAGCAGGTATATCAAGATTTTGTAAAGAGTTCACACTCTGTTTGGGTAAGGGGTTGAGGGTGCTGTGGGAGAGACATCTTTCTCGGTAACTTCGCAGAGTACAACGTCGCATATTCGACCGTCGCATATCCGCCCCAACCAATCACCCCCCCCCCCCACTCCTCCCCATCCAATGCGGGCAAAACATTTCCCTAACCAAGCCACGGAAGGAAACACGACAGCAAGAGACAGACGCAGCGTCGCGAATAACGATTGTCCCTGTTTTCATCGGTTAGCATGAAGTAACCACAATTATCATTATGATTGCTTTGTGCCGTGTGTGATGGAGTTTGGCTTCGCAACGAGGAAGCCTTTGACTTACAAAAGGGGGTGCCTGGCTTTTCGCTCTGCTGATGAGATACTGAATGTCAAAGCCGGTCTAGACGTTTTTCATTTGTTGAACCAACTGTTGCTGATGGGAGATGCGCTCCTAGAAGGCCGTGTGACCGATGGGATGTGTACATTTATTTTATTTCTTGTGAGTAGATGAATATGGCAAGAAGGCATTAATTAGTTAACATCGATGCCAAACAGAGACCTTTTTTTAAAACTCATCGATTACTTCTTCAAGAGTTATTAAGCCGTTAAATGTGAGTTGGTACTATTTAGCTCCCCTTGATTGTTTATTTCTTTTAGAAGTTTTGTCTAGATGAGGCGTCTTGTCTTGTTTTGTAAACTGCATAATAATGCACCGTTAATGTACCAGTACAGAGTAACTGTACAGTAACTCAAGAATAGTTGTCTGTCAAATAAGATGGTCCAAATATGTGTAGTTAAATCTTTTTTGCATGGTTATTAAGCTTCAAATCTAGAACATATCCCCCCCCCCCCCCCCCCCGCGTTTAAAGCAATTTGCGCTTCATCTGTGTCCAGCAACCGATCTGTGCACAGTATAATTGGCCGGAAACACCTTAATACGTAGAGGACTGCAAAACTTGGGCAACTGTCTCATCACACAGCTGCTGCCCCTCCCTCCTGTTTGGCCTGTGGTTCCTCAAGCCTCCGCCGTGGTCTCGCTGTGCAAGAGGGAGCTAATAGTGTTCTGTAGATGTTCACACATCCGACCTATCGATACGATCCACCAACACCCTCCCCCCCTCCTCTCCCTACCTCCCGAGTGAATCGGATATTCGACGTTGTACCGCACACATTCCTTGGTTTACCACGAAGGATTACATTTGCCAGTCTGCGTGCGGTCTCTCTCTATCTCTCTCTGTAGATGTATGCTTTGGACTAGATGGGTCAGTGTCAGGTCAAAAAAATAAATGTCTTTGCAACATTCACGCGCAGTTCATCGTCTGCTCGGGTGTTGACTAGGAAACCTCAGAATGTCAGTTCGGAAAAGTTTAAGATAACATGCACGTGTGCACGTATACGAACATACAAACACACTGTAAATATAACTTATGTGAAGGTGGAAGGGCCTGCCCTGCAATCTCTTGCTGGGCTGCCACTCAAGGGAGCTAGAACGAGCCGCCTCTTCTACGGATGTACCTTGGCCCGCTCTCCCCACCGTGGCCAGAATAATGTACGCGACAAATGTCAACGTGTATCCTGGCGTGACACCACCTGGGGCAAGAGAAATTCGCCCGCGTGAAATATGAGAAAGCCGTGGTGAATTCCATGATGAGTTGGTCTGGGAAAGAGAGAGAGAGAGCGAGCGGTCGATTGGACGTGCGGGCGGGTGGGCGGGCGAGGCGCCGCTTGGGGAAGTAACCTTTTTTTTTTGGCCCCAGCCCATCGGCCACTCCGGTTAATACTGCAGGCGCATCGATTGCAACGCGCCGCGCCGTCTGCTTCGAAAGCGGACGCTAAAGAGCCCGCGACGTTCTATCCGTAAAACGACAACAGCAGCAACGGCAACTAAAACGAGCGCAGGCCTCCCCCTGAGGTGGGCGTCATCGGTTTCATGAAACGTGCCGAGTTTTAATAAATCGCTCGCAAATTACTTAACCGGGAAAACGCTTCACGCCGCGGCAACACGGTGAGAGCGCGACATCGTAAAGCGTCGAATGTCCCCACGTCGGCAGGAAAATGCCAATTTGCAGGCCGGTGGCGCGCGCAGCCTCGTGTTGCGTGGGGACGGCTGCCACTGGGGGTGCCCTTGGCTGGGCACCGGGCGATTTCAGACGAGATTGCATTTAAGCAAGCGCTCCTGCACGCACGCACGCACGCCTGCACGCACGCACGCACGTCCGATATCGTGAACGCAGGGCAGCGCGATCGTGCCGTTCCCGCTCAAAGCCCAGCAGCTAACTTGAAAGGGGGGGGGGAGGAGGGGGCAGTAAGGTCCGGGGGGCTGTTTGCACGCGACGGTTTTCCTCACATGGCTCCTGTGTGTGCAATTCAGCAGCGATGAATGTATGCGAGCACTTAGTGTACGGGGGAGGGGAAAGCAAGCAACCGGCTTTACGCTTATGTGTTCGCGGTATGGCGGCGACGCCGTCGTCGTTATTTTAAGACGGCATGGTTGAAGTGGAATTTTCCATTAAAACTGACTGATCGTGACGTTTTCGTGATTGATTTTTTTGTTATTCTTGATATTGTTATAATAAGAAATGTATAAGTGGGGGGGGGGGGGGGGGGGGGGTGCTCGCGCAAGCCACATCGCTCTGAGCAACCGCCTGTCCGCATATAAGTTGCATGCGACTCGGACGCACGTGGTCGAGCGATTCGGTCACACCCAACCAAGCAATTCAGTTGCACGCAACCAAGTGGCGCAATCGATCGCTTTGGTGTGGGCCCACCGTAAGATCACGGACAGCAATATCTCTCCAGTGGACACCCGCGTTTCGCCAATATTTGCTCTATCACTTCTCTGCACAGCGGATATGCTCGTACGCATGTTGAAATTCTATCGCACCGTTCGTAGTCAACTGCGCCAATCACACGGGCACGTCCAATATGCAGAGAAATTAAAGTGAGTGGTTGTGGGGTCACGTGCCAGTATTTAAGCATTCACAGACGCAAATACACAACGCGTGGAGGGATTGGCAATGTGCTGAGCCATCTGTGTGATGTTTAAAGACCCTGAACTCGTTGGCTTTTCTGCGGTCTCCGTGCTCGAATGAGTATGTGGAGCGGCGTTCCTGTTTGTTGCGCGTGCTCAGCTGGTGGTGGGAATTCTACATTCCAAATGGCAGAGCCGCGTCTATCCGTAGCACCCCCACTGTTGGACTTCCCACGAAGTGGTGACCTTTTTTAAACATCTGCCCCCTAAAGGGAAGGACGATGGGATGAAGTTGAGCCACGACCGTGATTTGAACTTGTGTTCTGTTACAGATATTCGAGCTCACTCTCCCAAGCCAGTCTCAACATTCGTGTTTAGTCTGATGGAGAGTTTAGCTCTCCGTTGTGATTTCGGGTGGCACAGTGTACCCTTTGGCACGATGTCCGACGTTTCGCACCATGTGCTGGGAGCTTTCGGGGATTTGGCGTCACGGTGACGAGATGTTAATAACTCGTCTGGTATACAGGAGGTCGTGGGTTCGATCCAGACCCTGACGCCTGTATATTTGGAGTTTGCATGTCTCTCTCCCCGTGGTCATATGGATTTTTCTCCCGGTCTTCCTGTCTTCCCCTCCACATTTAGAATCAACCCCATGTGCTTCAAGTATTTGACTGCTATACATTTCCACGCGACAAGCCACTTCGTTGAGCTAACATTTGTGGCCAGGTCGCTTCTGAAAAAGAGCTACATAGCTGAAGTGGGCCTTACCTGGTAAAGTAAAAAAAAAGTTGTTCGGTAACAAAAATTCAGCGTCTGAAAATGCCGGTCTCTGAAGAGGTTTCTGAAGAGGCTCCCAGCTTGTGGTGCGAAACGTCGGAAACCATCGCGCCGTGCAACCCCCCAAAAAACACACACCGGAAGTAGAGCAGTACCGTACAGCGCGGCGACGGAATCCTACGCGGCGTACACGGAAAGCTTACCTGGAACAAAAACAAAATATCACTTGAAAGAAAAAAAAATTCACGTAAAAAAAAAACCATTCACCACCCTGTGCGTGAAGGGGTAAGGCGGGGGGAGCCCCTGGCCAGACACGGATTGAGGAACGATGAGACACTTTGGCACAGCTTCAGGAGCTGTCTGCCGAGCAGTGGGAACCATCGATCAAGCCTCTTCGGTTGCATAAGATGGCTCAGGGCACACAGCCGGCATTAACGTGACTCGGCAGCCATGGGGCCCATTCATTCCACGAGCTGGCGTGTCAGAAGTGGCGTCATCGCAGCCTGCCTCGGTACACGCCGAGCGGATAGCTCGCGACTTTGATCCTGAGATTTTTGTTTTGTTATTGATGCGGGGGGGTTGGTGGACCGCGACGAGATCGCGTGCGTGAGAACGCAGAGCTCAGACCCAACGCGGTTTTTTTTTCGGTTCAGTTCTTTGTACTTACGCCGCCGCCACACCTTTGGCTACGTACGGTGCGCAAGAAGTTTAACGGACATACATACGTACACGTAAAACACTTTCTAAGGAGGAGAATGCGTGCGGGCTGAAATACAAATCGCAACGCACAGAAGTGTGCTGTCGCCGCTCCCATACTGCAGCAAGGCACGACTTCCATCATGCTTTGCGTGCTTGTCACGTGACCAACACATTGCAACGTGCGGTACAAT